ACACATTTTTAGCATTTATTCAGGATTTATCTGGTAGTCGATTGTTAAAGGCAGACAAATATACTCAGGCACAAATGTAGACACAACACCTAATATTAGTGCTTTTGAGCTGGTAGATGAGAGAGGTTAATGAATATCACTACAAGCCCGTAGCAGTCATATTTTATCATGAAAGCTTTTTAGAAGAGTCTTTATTAATCACAATCCGTTGAATTATTTAAGTAGTAGAAAAAGCCAGGTGGAGTTGTACTGTTGTTTCCTGGTATTCAAATAACAGTATGTTATCTGGCTGACACCTTAGAGGGTACCAGTCGTACTCTTTCCAACAGTTAAATAAAAATATTTCAAGTGATTTCGACTGTTTCGTTTCTCTGATTTGAATCACTTTGACTATACTACTCATGAGCTCGTTGTTGAAGGAAGGAAACTAGTGTCTAGTGATCAGGTGGCTTAGACCTTGATGGCATGCAATACTGGTCAGTATGATTGTCTTCCACCTATCCACGCCAACCAGCAGTTAGTATTGTATTGCACATCGAAGCTCGTTAAATTTAATGTATTCACCGCCAACTCTGTGTCAATATGTAGATAAAAGAAAGCTTATGTTTAATATGATTAACACCCAAATATTCCAAGGATGTCTGTTTAGTGTGTCTGCACTCAAACAGTTATATATTTCTTCTGATTCTAAGGAAAGTAGTTACTCATAGTTATGCAGTGTCACTATTTAAAACAAGCTATATAATGAAAAAGTACGTTTCATTTATAACCACATCGACTTTACCTACAACACATTTGAATGACCTTATGCTTCTGTGTATACTAAATCTCCAGTTTTTTTATACCAATGAAATTAACTGACACAGAGATGTAGCCACTAACTCTTTTGCTAGAAGATTTCTTTTGGCTAGGATGTGGAACAGTACTAAAGCATCTGCTATTAAGGGAGTGAGCTTCTACATAAGATAACTGAATGGCAATTTTATTATATATGATAACTGTGATATGGAGGACACACTGAAAGTAATTGCTGGCAGTCGTGCTTCTACGTTAGAACAAAAAAAGACAACAAACTATCTTTCCTCGATGATGAGCTATTCACAAGAAGAGCTGATTGGTCGCTGGGAAAATCAACATGGATCGAATAACTCATCAATTCTTACAGTTTTGACAGAAAAAAGAAATTCGGTCAGTTCTCTCAATACATGTCTACAGAATCTGAAGTCAAGATGGTATTGATGAAGAACTTGGACAGTCGAAAGAAACTTTCTTGAACTATGGATAGCTAAAACGATTAATCAAAGTTAATAGGTTGTATGAAAGAAACTCAAGATGGAATTAATAACTGCACTGTGAGTGATTTCTTTATTAACCGGAAAACACTTTTTGCTGCCAATCTATGAACAGCTTAATAAAACCGTCAACTGGTACATTTAAACAGTAAAAACAATGTCACCTTGACTGTCCGATTTCATGTACACTTATATGTTTGCCTGTCCTTGTAGAGCTTTCGAGAGCACCTCTTAGCATGCCTGAGCAAGTGGAAACCTAAATATTATTTCACCTACATTAAAACGTGTAGGTAATAATGAGCACACAGTCTGTGATGCGTCCTTTAACACTGTTTACAAGGTCCAAAAGATTTTCTAAAAAGGATACGAATGTACTTGCTTTCGCAGAGTGGAAGCCCCAACAATACACAATATAAGACCAAAAATTTGTGTACTAAAGGAAATTATATGATCTCTTCCATTATCTTGAACTTAATTTTATCAAATGGTTCGTCGAATTTCCTTATTCTTCTTTATTCCATATCGTTTCAGTGTTTGTCTTATTTCACTTATGACATTCTTACGTTTTACTGATATAACATTTTAACTGACCTGATTAACCCAATTAAGAAATATAATGTAATAATATTGTATGTAAAAATAATTTAATTGATATACATAATTGACCTCATATCCAGCTAAACAGGTCATACTAGTAGATCAGGGTCAATTAGATTATGGGAGCATAAAAATTTAGCTAGACCTAGAATAATTGACCCTGCATAATTAAATAACCAAAGAAAAAGCCCAGTCATTGCACTGTATTCACTTGCATGTAATCACACGGTAAGGTAGGACAGGATGAAAGTATTAAAGGTAATCTAATTAGTTGAAGAGAGACAGACTAATTACTGAATCATCGCTGGTCGATTCCATGCCGCACATGTGCAATCGAAATGACGCAACGCCTATACCGGAGATATGGAAAGTGGCAACAAACAACCAGAGGAAAAGAGAGAGATATATGTATGTAAAACAAATCACGAAGTCGTGTGACTATTGATATGGTTATGAGCAGTAAATTCTGTGTGAAACGTCATCCAGTTATTGATACTTCATCACTTTGTGACATTTGATATAGACTTATCTAATAGGGAATTCTGTTCACAGAAATCTTTCCACTCCAGCTTGCCTAAACATCTTTAAGTCATTTAAATGCTAAAAGGTAGTTTCCGTCTATAAACTGATAGACAAACCTACCAAGTTTACAATCACTAATTCAAATAAACTCAGACAATTTATCAAAAGATAAGGTTTTAGTAGCCTGCATTCCTTCAGTGTGAATCAGACTCGCGTAGATGCTTACACTGGAAATAAGCAGAGTGTCTAAATTCTCTTCTCTTAAACCACTGGAAATAACTAGTTTATCATGATTTTCCAACAGCTATAGTAATTATAACCGAAAAACTTACAAATACTTTGAAACTTAAATATGCAGACAAAATAGCCAAACACACCAGACCATATCGCTGCTCCAGTATCGATTATTCGAAATGGGATTCAGCAAACGTTTGACATGAATTCAGCCAATTTTCGTTGGTTTTTTTTTAATGAAACTTATCTGTACTAAACAGAACAGGTCCTAATGTTCATTTATTATAACAGAGGAGAAAGTTTACGCTTATACCACTAAATAAAATCTGTTTATTCTTCATAATATAAAAGAGTTTCCAAATAACAGTTGCTGTGATTCTTATCTGATGACACTGATCTAACAGAAACATAAAATAGAATAAACCTACCCTGACAATAAATGGAGAATAAACGATCTTTCACATAGAGAAAATTCTGTCTTACTTCTCGCAATTGCCATAAATATTTCCAGCTTTTATAGATAACTTGATCCACAGACATAAAAATTAACTTTTTGTCTCATCCTACTTATAAAAATTCCCGTACAGGATTTTCAGAATCGAAATTTATTTAGAAAACTCGTGAATCTGGAACTTTCATCAACATACGAGACTAGATATAAGTAAAAAATAATTTTTTTAAGAATAAGATACAACCCAGTTGTCAAATGTAACATAGATGGCACTAAATCACCAAAATGAATAGATCATGGGAAAAATTCGATACACATTTTAAGAAAACATACTTGCTTATTTTATATCATTTTCACGGTGGTAAATGCTGAAGTAGGACTGATGACATCAGAAGACAAAAAATTATTACGTTGAATTCGCTAAATTATAAAATAAATTTTTGAACAATAAAAATGATGAAAGGGGAAATCATCATTAAGTTAACACTGTCACGAAACACTAACTAGTGAACACAACTATCAGACTTTCATCTTCCTATCAAAAAAGGCTCTGTGAACTGAATCTATACAGTTAGTTGTTTGTTCTCAACGTAAATTCAATGTTAACTTCATGGAAAAAGCATTCAACAAAAATATCTGGGCGATATGAAAAGTATTTTTTGATTAACAAGGGAGTGAATCAGAGAATTAGCATTAGTTGTTAAGAATTTTGAAACTGTGATTTAATCATTAATTAACCGGCAAAAAGTACACTTCCTTCACTTATCTAGGAAGCATCACTTCAATTAGGAGTAGAACGAATTGCGATGTCGAGGCTAGAATCAGAAGGGCATGATACACCTTCATGAATATGAAATCGGTTTGAAAATCTGCTGCGCTCAGCTCGATGAACAAGATTCGGATTTTCAGCACAAATGTGAAGTCAGTCAGTGCTTATATACGGGTCATAAACTTGGCGTGCGAGCCACGGAAAGTATTTCCAACAGGCTAGGGCAGACCTTTATCAACAGCTGCCTTCGCTGCATATTGGAGATCAAATGGCTAGAAAGAATTAGTAACAAGAAAATATGAAAACGAGACAACCAAGAACCTATTGCTCGGCAAATATGTACGGGAAAATAGAAATTGATCGGAAGCACGCCTGGGGACAATCGAATGACATCGCGCACCAGGCAGTCACTCGAGTGGAAGCCGAATAGGGAACAGCGAGTTGGGCATGGGTCTGAAGGTGATATAGGAGACATCGTGCGAGGAGGAGATCCGATACTATGAGCAGTCATGGGGCTGGCTGAAAAGGACTGCAGAGAATAAGTACAAAGGGGAGATGTTCTGTTGAAGCAATATTATAATAATACTGGAAAATCATTATATAAATTTATGAAAACCTGTCGGTCATCAAAGGAGTTCAATTCTCACTTCAGCGTTAGACACTGAGCTTAAGGAACATGTGTAAATGATGAGAAATTGTCCTCTGACAAACTCCAGAGTTCTGATAAGCATTTGGATAATACTCACATATGATTGAATTTATATTAAACATATAGAGAGTGGTAAAATACGTTTGTCAAAATATTTACAACAAATACCAACCCATATTATTACACTGCAATTCACTGAAATCAACTTACAATTTAATTATTGTATACAGTTGTTCTAATAATCTCAACAATTAAATCTACTAAAAAGGTTTACTTCCGGACTAGGATACAGAAGACATAATGAATTCCCACATGTCGCATGAGCCATTATGTTGATTTTTGTATTCCTCATCAACTACTGTACAGGTTTAATAAGGACAAAAATGTAATGAACAAATAATTAAGTAATTAAAGTTAAACCTATATATATTTGTAAGTGGATTTTGCTCACTAGTAAATACGCTGTAACTCTTGAAGATGCTAATGATGAATGTAAGTATATTTTTATTTATATGTCACGACTAGTTTAAATAACGCATTACAACAACAGTTTTATTTAATAATTCGAAAAATAAAGACAACTATTCGCTTTATGGATTTTGCTGGCAAAGCCTTTGATATCAGTAGACAGATCATCTTCAGTACTTCTACACTAAGAAGTTGAATTCTGATACAGTGATTGGATTATTCTTTGGCAGTAATGTTCAGCACTTTTTGGGTTGTGGTTCGAGAAGAAAGAGTTTTAATTTTTGTATCGCTTTACGAAAGAATTTACTTATGATATGCATTGATAAGTAACAGAAGATTTTAATTGAATTTTAGATTTTCCCGTCGATGGGAACATCATCACTCACTGAGAAATGCAGGTACATCCAGATGACGAGCCCTAAATAGGACGAAATGCGCATCCTGGATTCCACTGCTAGTCAACATCCACCAAATAAACAGAAGATTTTACCCAAAATATATTTTGGTAACACTAAGTACTAGTAATGTCACACCTTCAGCAAATAAGATACATTCCTGTAGTCTGACTAATTTTATCTTTCCATATTCGAGAAGTTTATTTCAAGTCATTGATGTGAGCGACAATTTATGCTGGAAACGTAATTCAGTTGCCAATACTACATCACTGTATGATATCTGAAATAAACGTATCCAATATGGGATTACATTAGACCATAGTGCCTAAATTAAGCAATCATATTACTTTTGTGGTGGTGTGATATAGACAAGGTGTTTCAGTGGAATATTATTCTGACTCTAGCAACAAACAGAATGTCAAAATAGATACAACATATTCTGTTGCTAATGTTAAATTGAACTATGGGAATGTGTGAGAACAATATTCCGTTGGAACAACCCGTCTATATCACACCACCACACTTTTATCTTTGAATTAACTGCTTGTACAAAAGAATAGGGGGCTTATACTGCAACCCTCTAGATGGGCGTCTAGTCCAGTCTATACCTTTACATTATTTCCTAGATATATAATGTTTGAGATCCTATAAAGTCAGTTGTTTTCATAAACTTCCTAAGTTAAACAAACTTTCTTGCCGAGTATGAAGAATTGATTGGGATTAAAAGTTGACTTCTACATCACACATAAGATAAAGTAAATGAAATATTTTGTAGCAGAACCCTGAGAATGTAAAAGTTCGAATGGATGAGACAAGTGATTTGATTCAAAGTCACCTATTTTGCAAGAATAGATTATTTATTAAGATAATTACATGCTATTGGACACTAATTAGTGTCATTTTTCTAGTCCTTTGTTTACTGCAGACTGAATTCTATTAAAGAAAAAAATCCCCATTTAGACATATAGAAAGCAGAAAGATTGAGCGAAGAAATATTTACTTTTCAATTAGATCCTCATCTCTGGCTTTACCCTAATATATAGCATTTTTATTACAATACACAACAGTTTACCAATCAAGTGGCGAAAAGTTTGTTAACAAAGTCAGAGATGAGGATCTAATTGAAAAGTAAATATTTCTTCGCTCGATCTTTCTGTTTTCTGAATTCTATTAGTCAAGTTTGCAATGTGTCCACGATGCTACGGGTGTCACCGTCATGGCGCACCCGGCGATTGTTGTTATTATATGGTTGGAGGCACTCGTCAGCAAGCACGAAACCTAGGTCCAAGGCTTCCTGCCGATTGCCTCCAACCATCTAATAATAACTACATGCAGTAGAGAGGAAGTTTTGGAACACTAAGTGGCCATTAACTACGTCAAGCTGGGGAGAGAAATGCTACAACTTGAAGAAAAGCAGCGGAAAGTTTTCATTCGCACATAAAATAAATTATCGATATAAAAGCTTGAAGTTAACAGAACATTTAGATAGAGCCATTCTGTAGTAACCGTTTTTTCCCTGAGAAAGCCTAAACATCTCTCGGTGAATGTTTATTGTGATAAGTTTTATATTTTGTACGGACAAATTAGTATTTGATCTTTCATTTTCATTCAGGAAGGTCTTTATTTCAGAAATAAGTATGCAATAGATGTGTGAGTACATTAGTAAAACAAATAATGCATAAAGTAAGAATGAAATTCCTAGAATTGCAAACAAGAGTTTTAAATGCCCAGTGGTGAAATTTATCGTCAGTAACTGGGACAAAAGATGGTATACCTTCTCTAGCCAACGTTTTTGTGGTGCTTCATATCACTACTCCGCTGTTATTCTACGCATCAAGATCTACTTTTATGAAATAACTGTTTTTCATGTTTTCATAGGTTTGTATCATTCTAACTGTATTCATTGTCACAATGAATCCAATAACTAGTGAACTGATGCCGCCAAAAATTACTTGTATGAATGATTGTTGGTCAGTAGGAGATAAATGCAAACAGAAGTGTGTTCGCAGGGTAGATGAGTTTAAATGCAAATCCCAGTGTCAAAATGTCATACATAACTGTCAGCGTAGTTGCCCGAAATTTTAAGAATCTCAGTACGAATTGCACTTTTCAAGAGTGTGAAAAATTTGATGAAGAGATTTTGCTGTAAACGTTCTGAAAACTAACGTGTATTCAATGTGAATTTTAAAAAATTTGTTGTAACAATCTCAATCGTTTTTAAAGTTGCTTAATAAATGTACAAACTTCGAAATTTCCGCTTGTAAACAAATTGTTCTCTTTTTCAATTCCTATTTGCTTTATGCTAATGTTTGAAACTGCATCATCTGAATTGAACATCAGCTGAGACTTATGTGACTGTATATATTCGAAGGCATAATTAGCTGTGGTTTGCCTCATTTTCGTACGGTGCATTCAGAAAACATTTGAAAGCTATTAAAGTAGAGGGAATCTGCAAAAAATGAAGTTTTGTGCATTCAACCTACAGACTAGACTATGCGGAAACAGCCCAAACTATACAAATTTATCATCGCATGACAACCAATGTATTCGTTTATTTCTAATTAAGTAGAATCAAATGTATCTATGAAGTTCGAAAAGAGGTTACTAAACTAAGTCACAAAGCACTACTTTGTTGTAGGCTTAGTTTTAGACTTTCAACTTCATAAATCGACTATTGAGGAACCATGAGCCTAGCTATTTTAATTTCTGACCGTGTTTAGCAATAGACCTCTTCATTCTTCAAGAAATCCCTTAGCACCTTGAAATTTGAACCTACTTCATCAAGCGTCTCAATCACCATCTTTAGCACTAATCTAGTCATCCGAAAAAGTGAGCAACGAGTAAAAAATTCAAATTATGGTTTTATACCGGTGAAATCATCAAAATCATCATCATCCGTTTCATGAACTAACTATTACCAACACAGTAAGCAGTATGATGTGAGGGTCAAATGGAACACTTTTAACTGGTTTGATTAGATTGTAAATGAACAGACTATAAATGAAATGATCGAGCTTTATTAACTGCGCATATTTCTTTCAAAATCAAGTAGTTAAAAGTTGACAAATAGCGTCTAAAAGATAGAGGAATTTGCAGCGATTGCATGAATTTATTGAGTTAAAATATACCGAAATTAGGTGGAAAATAAAACGAATTTCAAACACTAATTACGTTAGTTTTGTGAGTTTTTATCGGTTTATTACATTCTACAGAAACCCTTGGAAAAAATTAGGTTTGTGATTTTAACTGATTAAAAATGCCTACTGAACTTTTTCAAAAGATGGTTAATGAACAAAGAATATTCTTTCCGATGACTTCATCATCAGGCTCTATATATATATATATATATATATATATATATACATATATATATAATAGTGAGCGGATTAGTGTTATGAACAACATTAATGTCGTTTAAATAACATCGAATCAATAATATCAGTGGATTGCAGTTCAGTAGCATCAACATAACAATAAACTGAATGACAGAAAAATTAGGAATGATAATAATACAAATTCATGAACTTATAGTCTCTACTGAAGACGAGGGCAGTAGTAGTGGATGTACTTGCTTCTTGTGCACACAGAGCACAGGTTGTTCAAGGCAAATTGCGATAGTCTCTGCTGTTTGGAGCACGAGGTACCTGGATGTTTTTCGCAGTTTGCTTTATACCGGATAGATGATGGAGAAGGACTCATCAATATTAGTGTTGTTGTTTTCTAATATAGAATTGCTGATGGCTTTTACTACACCTTTATTTAGCCACACTGTGATTTTGGCAGCAAATGACAGGTTGCTTAATCTGCTCTTCACTTTATGCCACAATAAAAGACGATTTCATCATATCTCAAAAGGTATTTTTGGCCTTTCAATGAGGCAACATAACCGTGCAGCATTTATATTTTAACAATCAAATACTGTCTGGAATAAAGTAATTTATTGAAGATTTTGCTGTCAAGAGAAGTGTATTTAACCCATTTTATACACCACCTCTATGAAAACAGAAGATTACTCGTCATCATGGAGAAAAATATGCTTTCTTGATACTGTGAGCATCAATAAGCTCATTATTATCGGCTGCACACACTTCCACGGTGAAATAAAACTTTTTAAACACAACTGAAAGATGATAGTAACCGAAAGTATTGCATACTTTTTTACCATAATAATAAACTTTGATAAGTTAGTTTTACTCTCAGAGTGACTGTATGCTACATTATGAAACACATAAATTTACCATCCTTCGCAATTATCTACTTCCTATTCGTATGATGTTTTAAAATGTGATATCTTGAATGACATGCTCTACTGAAAAAAAGTACTATTCTGATTAGCCGATAAACGTATCTGTTGTGGACTTTACCTAACGAGGTAATCCAAAATAATTATAAATAACATTGGGAAAAGTTACACTTGAGTTATTTCCCAATTTTTAATTTTAAATACACATTTGAACCAGTTAGTTCATCATTAGGATAAAAGTAATTATGTCTCTAGGAGGAAAACATATTTTACAGCTGCAATCAGTAGTCAGAACTATGGTTCACTCTTATTATTTATTTGTTTTTTATAGCTTGACTACACACAGTACTTTTGATACAAGTATGGAATTTTCAGCGTGTGATATCGGTAGCCCAAATTCAGCAGGCCGAACATTAATATCAGGTCTGCGTCGGCCGGGAATCTAACCCCGGACCATGTGCATGGTCGGCAAGCGTCCTAACCACTGTGCCACCGACGCACAAGTATTTTAATAGTAAGGGTGTGACAAATTATTATTTGAATTGCAGTGAAAGTCCCACAACAGATCCAAACACATACAAACACGACTGGCAATTATTAATTAGTGCTGAAATCCCGTCAGTACATAATGCAGCCAACACAGATGAACCAAAAGATGACTATTTGACTGAAAATCACTCCTGCTTGTTATTATTAGTCACACAATTCAGAAAGAAGGTAGCTCATCGACAGCAACAATGGCGATTAGAACTAACGTTTATTTGAGAAGTGTTGGCAAATGTTGGACAAAGTTAAGATTTATTTCAGTGTCTAGTGATTCGAAAATTGCACCCAACACCAAAAGCAATAAATGATCATACTTCTACATGAAGCATTTTTCTTAGGCGAATGAAAGTCGAAAGTATTCAAGCTGAATCCTAAAGCTGAAGTGTTTCATTTAAAACGCAACACTTCACTTGCACATCTCTCTTTAAAGTTATTTTTTAATGAAAAGTGATAAAATATTTTCGCAGGTTATTTGTGCTGATTCTAATGAAAATAGTGCTATCAAATTAAGGTAATTATAGCATTTAGTGAGTCTAATGAATGCTACAGGTGGAAAAAGTTGGGAATAATGATGATACGTAATTGAGACACTTATATATTATCTTTATGTTTCGAACTAGTCTTAAATAGGTAACATAAAAAAATCTATCTTTTGTTCAATGAGCCAGTTAGCTTCTATTTGATCAATTTGAATAATCGACATTGCAAACCTGACTGATAGAAGTCAGTCCGCACCAAAGAAAGGACTAGACACAACACTAGTTACTAGTGTCCAATCAAAGTGTCAGCTATACAGTCAGTATTTCATATATTGAGCAATTTACTATTCCTATCAGCCGTTAGTCTTAAAATCATAATTAGCCCGAGCAAAATTAAATAGCACAAAAAATATTGCCAGTCAAGAAAATGAGAAAAAGTCTTAAAATGCCTCTGCAAACAAATATTCAGATGTCTTTAATTCAGAGACAGTTTAATCACTGAAAACAAAGATTAGGCGACGTACAGTATTTCATATATTACAAATTGACTGGTGAAACAGCATATCAGATACGTGCAACTGGACTAGTTATCTACATAGCAGATTATCGTGGCTTCGAAATGACTTATGGTAGGAGGATTAAAACTGGCTTTTGTTAACATCACAACAGATCTTTACGTACAATGACTTTGTTCTACGCTGAGTAAATCTTTTAGAATTCAATGACTGTAACATAGTTGACAAGGCATAATATTCAGAACTAATATAAATATTTGGTTGATGAAACAGTTACCCAGGAAAGCATTTATTCGTATCACCTAATGAATCAAATAGATGGTTTCAGTCATTGAACTGGTAAAATTTGTGTACCAACTGGAAAAAGTACTATTTGTTTTCTCCTGTATTTATTACGATTCATCTTTATAAATGCGGAGCTCTACTTATCGATCCTTTTATCCATTCACTTTAGTTTGTTCTGATGACAGTTCGATTACCAAATCGAGTTGTGTATCATGCCATACATATCTGTCCTTTAACTTATAAGTATATTATTTAGCTTAACACGGCTAAGAACACTGATTTTAAATATCAACATTTTTCTGCCTACCTAGTTGCTTGTATCTGATCATGCCCCGGCACGTGTCAATTCGCACTGACGCACAGCTATGCAAGCTTCTACAATGGTCTGTCGGCAGAAAATCATACAACCATTCACGTCTGAAAAAAATGATAGCACACCGAAGTACAGATTTAGTTCAGCGAGGTTGACTGAGTGACAAGTAATCCGGGTCAAGTTAAACTTCTTACCTACTGATATGTAACATGTGAATACAGCACAAATCACCAGCGTGCCACTCACTTAGATGACTTTGCAATGATCGTTCCGTGTACACTGTTTAATATAATGCATTCTGAGTAGTCACATTTAAGGTAACTTCAACAGATATACATGCCAATATTTTGATGCATTAAAGTCTAATTCGTCAGTTATGCTTAATTTCACCGTCGTAAAAGTCAGTGCCAATGCCATATGCTTATTATAACTAAAATAACACATCTATCTGGCAAATTAAGCTTAGATAATATAATTACCGATAGTCACTGACTTCCAAGGTGTTTTGATATTGTCCTGTGAACACTCCACACAAATTATTGCCGATTGTATTTGTCTTTGGTATCCTTACATATAATAATAATTACTGAATAATTAGCAATTTTAAAATTCATTTTGGACAAATGACTTTGTTCAAAAGTTTCATTAAATATCATCACAAATTATCTCAGTATTGTCATTCACCACAACACTAATCATCATTGAACACCTGATTAACTTGGTGACCAAAATCAAATTTTAATTGCATTCTATTATAGGCATTCTATCACAAACAACGATGCTGATACACAGGGTTAGCATAAACACAATACAAAAAATTTTAAAAACTGTCCAATATGTGTTTTAGGTCATCAATACAAAGACTCTGTTTTGGACTGCATAATTACTGGCATACACAACTCATCATCTGAACTAATTAGCTAACAAACGAAATTGTGAAGTGAATGACTTTTGCTCAGGGTTGAAACTGACCATATATAAATAAATATATTGTCACAGGGTGTGCACACTCCTATCATTGGCTCTGCTAAGTGCAAGTGATTGTATGGTGTTTTTTTTCCAAAAACAAGCATGAGTGCAAACAAAGATATTTAACCAGACAAGCGATACAATTCAATATTTTAAAAAAAGAGAATAACTTCAGTTGCTAATTTTTACTTCCTTTGGAGAAAATATAATGAAAACGGGCATCACGCAAAATGTCAGACAGAATGACCTTTGTGCTGTACCAGTATTTATCAATATAATCTAATCAGTTGGATGATTGTTACTGTACAGGGGTAAGAATAAATACACATATACACAGGCCTACATTCACAGCACTACAAACTAGTTAACATTTGTACCATATTGCGGTGTTGTTACCACTGTGATTCTTATTGCCCAATAGTCAGTTGATTTAACTCCAAAATATGTCTTTAACCTATTCTGGTTCCCAATCAGAAGGGTGTGCTTTGTTAAGAAATGACTACCTCAACCAAAACTGCTATGACACTTATAGGCGAAGTATAAATAATAAAAGATATGATAATGGTGATGGCGATGACAACGAAAGTACTTCTATGAATGAACAGAGCAGCAACCATCAAGGACTAGAGAATGAGGGGACACATTTAAATCTAAAATCTGGTTATGTACCTATGGAATCTGCAAGCGATGAAACAATAGATAATACAAGTAAATCAAATATAATATTTATGTCTAATTTTTCTCGTCTCCATAATGTTAATTTTTTTTAATTGCCACTATCATTTCTAATTATCAATCCGTTGACTTTTACACATCAGATAACACTAGTTAATTGGTACCAGTTAAGCAGGCAAATCTGTATAGTTTTTTTTGACTTCGCATGCAAACAGTTTAAAGCTGAGAAACAAAATGCTCTAATGTTTACATGTAAGAGAAATGGATCTTCGCTTGTCTATGCAAACGGTCTTCAAAAGTGAACAAGTTTTAAGACTTAAACAGATACATTATCATAGTGCTCAAGGAAAAATGAAGTCATTTATTGGTTTAATTGTTACAAAAAGTTATTGTCTTCCACTTGGTATGTAAACGCAAGATGTTTGATCCACGTTCATTTTCGCTTAACTATCTAAATTCATTACTTTAAAATAATTACAACTGCCTAACCAACTGGTTTTTATATCGGCAGTTTATTATGGCAAATTTTAAGCATATTCACTCTGTGCGCAAGTGATTATTCCAGTGGTACCACAGAAGAATTAATGTCGTCTATTCCTATGTATTCCTTTAGGTTCCCAGTGGAACATAGGGCTTCAGGCTCCCCTTTTTACCAGTCTTATTACTAGGTTAGTGAGTTAAAGGAGTGCGTCGTCGGCCGGGGATCGAACCCCGGACCACCTGCTTGGTTGGCTAGCATTCTACCGCTATGCCACCGATGCCTATTCCTATAAAGTCTACAAATAATACTCAGTAAACTTACTCATATATTTCTAATCAATAATAATTGGTAGTGAAAAATTACACAATCCTAAATTTTTTGCTGACGTGGAGAATATTTACAATTCAGGTGGGTGATTTTGACGTAGTTGTGTTCTCTGAACTGAATGGTTTACCTGCAAAGCTTTCATTGCCTTACTAGACAACACCTTCGGTGCATACTTCAGTTTAAAAAGACTTCATTGTCAATCAGATCAGTAGTTTAAAACAGCCATCTTTTATTCGGTGATTATGAAGCGCTTTCAAAAACTGAATGTCACTCACTCTTAATGTACCCTACTGATATGTTCACAATCCCTGATTGCCAGCACCACTATGACCTTGTTTAAATGTTATGCTATTCGTTACTCATACTTTATTGGCTGTTGACATATCTCGCCCTGATCATTCGTAGCTAACCTTAAAGTTGCTTCTCTAGAAAAGTGATGTCTATGTATGCATATCAAAACACCTTAGCGAATCTACAACATGTAGTCTTACCTACTATTTTACTTTTATTGAAGACATTCTTTGTTTAATATAAAGATAACTCACAATATTAGAGTCTATACGAAGACACATGATCAACACACAGAGATTTAACCATAAAAATAGATTCTAATTCAAATGTATGAAGGTCTGATAAGAGAGAATAAATTCGAAAAGAAATATATTATTTTTATACGATAATAGCCCCCAAGAGAAAACGAAACACCACAGCACTTAAACCCTTATAGAAATAAGCAATATTCATTCATCAATCTTTCCTAAAGAATAACTGTTTCGTTAAGAGACATATTTTCTGAACATTAAAATAATACAGCCTGCATTTACTGGCTGATAGATCTATATTTTGAAGTGCTTTTAGGGTGCTTCAATTTTAACATGGAAAAAATATACTACTTTAAGTGAAAGACTACTTCTGAAGTTTCTCCATTTTCATGGTTCATTATTTTCCGCCGCAGATGCGTTTTAAAAAGTTAAGGTGTGTATGTGTGTTCTATATTCATGAAATCTGAAATATGCAAAGGATATTTGATTTAACTTTAATCTGAAATTCTGAAAGCTAGTTTGATATATCTGAAGAGAACCAAATATCACAGAGCTCACATCATGAATTCCACTGTCCAATATAAACATATATATATATATATACCCTCACGTGTCGCCTGGCTAAACAGTGCTTTAATATGGTAACAATGTAGAGAGAATGGGATCTTCAATTACTACGAAGCCTTGTGTTCTCTGATTCATGCTGAATAGCTTTTGTTTGTGGGAGTTTAAGTATTTTTCATGAGTATTAACTACGTGATCTACTTGCGGACTTCGACTGTTTTTACTTAAGCTAGTTAGCCAGCATGCGTGCAATTGTGAGTTAGTCAAATGGAAATTTTTGAAACATTTACTGTACGTACAGATATTGCCTATGTATGCTATTTTGAAGTTGATATTTGCGAATGTATAAAATATGAAACAACTAGCCTGTTGACAGCAATCATTTGTGTGACTGTCAGTTAGTTCAAACAGAAAACTTAATAAAGCACAAATATTGATCATGAGGTGGTCTACAGACGTAAAACGCGATTCCATCTCCACGTTGGAAACCGCAGACAAAGAAAAATAGGCCAGAATAGTTCTACTATCTGTTAATATAAAATACTTGTGTTTGGAAATATTATGTCTATTTCCTGTTCACCTTTGTGAATGTTATGACGATTGAACCCATGTTAAACGAATTTAATAAACACTATTCTATATGCACTGTTTTACTCTTATGCATAACAAAGGCTATGCAAAATGCCGAATTTATACCAGAAACACCATTTGGTGAAATGTCGACAAAATAATTTGGTCACACTTCTTATGTTGCATATGCACAGACAACTTTCTGATGAAACTTTACAATGAAGACGTTTACTTACAGGTACAGTTTACTGACTTATTCCAACTCACTAGTTTTCTATTGGACACTAGTAAGTAACTAGTGTAATATGTCCAGTCCTTTGTCTGGTGCAGACTGAATTCTATCAGTCACGTTGGCTATGTGGTCACCAATCTAGGTGGCTCGCCATCACGGTTCAAATCTCAGAAGGGGCATAAGTTCCTTCAAGGTCGCAGATACGCCTTACTGACTGGTGAGTGCCAACCAGTCCGAGGCTTCCTGTCAACTGCCTTCAACTGTCTAATATCAACTGAATGGTTTTTAACATCTAACTTCGCCTATTCATATGAAAAGGAAGTCTTCGATTCAAGTCAGAATAAGTTAACTGGATAATTTCACCGCTTAAAATAATTAAATTATAAAATAATATATATATCCATTATCTTACTTATTTGAAATGAGAAACAAGGCTCACACCTATCAAATTTGAATTTATTTTATATTCCGTTGATTTATACAGTTTGCTTTAATTGACTCAAATTAAAAAGCAACAGGGAGGTGTTGCAACATTCAGTGAATATCCATCATTGCATTCATCTACTTCTTAATATCCCGATGTTTTAGAAATCTACTAATTAAGTTTGTAAAATAGTACCAAGTACTTCCACCAATGTTAATGGCTCGCTAGACGGAATACTCTTATTACAAAGCATGGTTAGAAATCAATGCTAGAATCACACTTCTTTCAGTGATGTAAACATAAAAGTCAGTGTTTTCAAGTATTGATTTCGTAGGGGTTTTGTTTGATTGCTCGGAGGATTTCATCATCAGCTGACATCAGTTACAGAACCACTGGAAAACTAGCTAGAAGTACTGGACAGCTTTTTTGTCCTAGTTTGGGACTCATCATCAGTACGCACCCACCGGGGTTAGAACCCAAGAGCTTCTGGTTACAAGGGAAGCTCGTAGACCATTAGGCCACTGGCCCTATTCTGGCAGTTAACCTGGGGTTCTAACGGGAAAACGTGACCAGTAGGCTACAGCAGGTTGAAGGTGAGGCAGTGACTCTTCAAAGAAGACATTGCGAAGTGGTTGCACTATGTCATGAATTGGCAGAAGTTAGAATTCATTGTCCATTGGACCGGGTTCTCGTGGCCTAATGGTCTACGAGCTCACTGGCCTTGTAACTAGAAGGTCCTGGTTTCGGACCCCGTTAGGTGCGTACTACTGAAAAGTTCCAGACTAGGATGGAAGAGACAGCTGTTCAGTACTCCCAGGTTTTGCAATGGTTCTCTAACCGATGTCAGCTCATGATGAAATCCTCCAACCAATCAAATAAAAGTCAGTGATTCAGCTACTTGTACCAAATATGTAATAGTTTTATACTATAAACTAGTCTCTACTCTGTATGTTTGAATGGGCTTATTGACTCTTAGTAACTCGAAAATTTTAAAGTAGACTAAGTATTTCTGACAGAAATAAATTTTCGCAAATAAAAATTATTCATGATTCGCCCGTCGCACACACACACTGTGAGTTAAGTGTACAATGTTCAAAATTATTTGGCATCCTCTGACTTTCGATATCTGGTTGTGAATAATTCATTTTCATGCTTCCTGGCATCTTCTGCGACAACAGTGCAATTTTCGGCTAGCAAACCACTGCTTGAAGAGTTAGCTAACAGCGGCTGTCATAACCCGTTACATAATGATCGTAAAGAACTTTAGAACCAAAAAAAACTTAAAGAACCAGCACACTAATGAGAAAATAATTGTCAGACAATATCCGACAGTTAAATGATGAAATAAACTTTAAATTATAAACACAATATCCACGTAAAACAAAAATCAAATATTCATATACCCTAGGGACGACTGAATTCACTACATCAAGCCTTTTGTTTGTTAATATAAACTTAATAAATGTTCGAAACCATCATACAGAAGAGAACACTGCTTTTTTATTGTTTTGTGTCACTAAATTTAATAAACAGTTTTCCTAACTAAGCAAATATTAATTAAGAATATGACGAGTATTGCTAGATACAAACTATAGCCTATTACATATTCTGGTTCGGTAGTTAGTGATATTCATCATAAATCTGTTAAATATCTTCTACATATGTGTACCTTCTTATATGTTATTGCCTGAAATAACCCTTAGTAAAATTGAAATCAGTTGACACTTCTTGCTAATTAACAGTTGCAATTACCACTGTATTAGATATCGTTTTGCAATTAGATAAAACTGACCCTTTCAAGAGTCCATTTTCATTGAAACACTGGAAAGCATTGGAAAAGGGTATACAGACTAATGATAAAATCATACTTAAGGCATACCATTGTGGGATGACTCTAAACCATAGCAATCCAAAGCGAAATTACCTAATGAACGGATTGATAACCTTGACGATTTTACATACAGAAATTGGCTTAACCTGACTATGAGGACTCCTGTGAGAAGTAAAGAGGTTTTTTTGGAACATATACAAGAATTTTATTCTATGTAACCATTTTTTAACATTGCATTAAGTGTATATAGACGTTTATTTCAAATTACGCGCTTTTACTTCCTACGAATCTGATTGGTTCCTAGAGGTAGTTTCGTTTTTGTCTGCTTTAGTTTAGAGTCACTGCATTGTGTGTATATTGAATATAGTTACAATATCTTGCAGTAAATAAGATAACATTTTTCATTTAACGTAACATAAAAACTTTAAGATATCACAGTCTGCCAACTAAATAAACCATTATCGTCTAAATTTTCTTATTATTATTATTAAAAAATTAAGCTTCCCCATGAATTTATATAGTAACTGTAAGCCTTATTTTTTACATTCACATTGTTCAAACATCGCAGAACATTCAATTCCTTATCCTACAAATGATAAGGTATCAGTGACTTCTTGAACAGCAATTATAAGATTTTTATCAAACTTCAAATGTTTTACTTGCTTATTTGAAGAGGAAACGCAGCTACATGTTTGACTTTGATTCCTATAAACAATACATGTTCACTTGTCACCCTATAATTCAGTCTAGTATGTGAAGATTAACAAACACCAAAAATGTAATCTTTTCAATACACACACACACACACACAGACACAAATACTCGTAGACAAAAAAAGAAGAATAAGAGAATGATATGAAGGAAATAAATATTCACGTGACCAGTAGATTAATCAGCTTTATTTAAATTGCGAGTCATTCATCAATCAACCAAAATTTTCTGACTGTTATATCATGTTAAGTTCAGATGATAAAGGCACATCTAAAACAAACGGTAAAAAAAATTCACATTACCATTTTAACACAATGTTTCAAACTTGTTGCTATCTCATGTATATACAGTAGACTATCTACTGGTAAATATATTTAAACAGGATATCTGATCAGTCTTCTGTCCTCATGCCACTTATCTATTTTTTTCTCCAGTTCAAACAAATGAGACAACAACAACAACTTATTGTGAGGAGATTGAAGTACCAGAAATTGTCAACACTGGTTTTCTGGGAAAGTACTTCCCATTCGGCTTTTGTTATGAATTCAAAAGACTTGTTCGCCTCGCAGTACCAATTGTAAGTAATATTAGTTCATTTGATATATGTACGTATATATGAAATTATTTATCACAAGATATTTAACTTGATTATGATCACAAACACTTTAATTGCGTTTCACACCATTACTAAGTCTTTATCCCTTTGTTTAAATTCAAAAATGCCGACCATATATATATATATACGACTGTACAGTTTGATGATAAATTCGTTGAAAGGAGTCTGTTTACTGAATAATGCGTTCTTAAAATATATAACTGATTACATTTCTATCTGTATAAATATGTTCATTACTCGAGTTAAAATGATGTACCAGCAATTTGAAAATGTGAACGCAATTCTACTACACTACGCCTAACTTTAAATGGAATTACTACCTCAGCAGTTTATCATATAGTAATTCAAGATTTATCCTCTCTTATCTCATAATTTATCAGATGTAGTGTATAGCGTCCTATAATTTTTAAGCCTCTCAAAACACTAAATAGATAGTTATTGTTGTTTTCAAAAAAATAATAAACAATGTGGACAAAATGTTGATTCTCTTCATCAAACCACTTCCAGAGAGGTTGACAGCCAGCATAGTCAAGCGGTATTTCCTTTAGGTGTTTCCTTTTTATAAACCAATTATTATATATTATATTATTGTTCCCTTGGGTTCCTAGTGGAACATAAGGCTTCAACTGCACGTCTCCACTTGCTTATGTCTTGTGCTGTACTTTTCACCTGCGTCCATTTTAGTCCATACTGTTTCAGTTCCTGTTCACACGATCTCCTCCATGTCACCCTTGGACGTCCCAATCGCCGCTTCCCTTTCGGTTTCCACTCGAGTTATGGCCTGACGCACGATGTCACCCACCGGCCTCCTCAAAGAGTGTCCAATCCATCTCCACTTTCTCCTGCATATTTGTTGAGCGATTGGTTCTTGCTTTGTTTGTTCCCATAGTTTCTTGTTGGTGATTCTTTCCGGCCATCTGATCTTCAGTATAGAACGAAGACAGATGTTGATAAAGGTCTGCAACCTGTTGGAAATATTCTTTGTGACCCAACAACTTTCTGATCCGCATAGAAGAACTGACTTGACGTTTGTATTGAAAATCCGAATCATTTTGTTGTTGATGCTGAGTGACGAAGATTTCCAGATTGGTTTCAGGTTGATGAATGTGTTTCTCGCCTTCCCGATTCTCGATTTGACATCCTCGTCCGTTCCTCCTGTAGATGAGACAGTGCTCCCTAGATTAGTGAAAGAAGTTACCTTTTTCAAATCCCTCCTATCGATGGCGATTGGCGGTGGATGTTGCTGCTGCTGTTGTTGTTGGTTGGTTATTTTCATAACCTCCGTCTTGTCTATGTTCACCTGGAGTCCTGTCTTTGCTGCTTATTCGACCAGTTTGTCGGTTTTCGCTTGTAAGTCTTCGATTTTGTGTGACATCAAACATAAATCATCCGCGAAATCCAGGTCTTCTAGGTTGTTCACGTCGGTCCAGGATATCCCTGTCTCCTCGTTTCCCACTGTCTGACACATAATCCAGTCCACCACAATTAGGAGTATCATTGGTGATAGTAAGCACCCTTGTCTGACTCCTGCGTTTACTCCAAACGCCTCACTGAGTTTTCCGTTTTGGATCACTTGACATATGGTGTTGTCGTACAGCTGTTGAATAAGGCTGATGAATATTTGGGGTGTGCCGTAGTACTCAAGTAGTTTCCAAATTACTTCGTGGTCAACGCTGTCGAAGGCCTTCCCAAAGTCTATAAAGTTGAGTTAGAGGTTTGATTGCCATTCCATGCTTTGTTCGATGATGATGCGTAGAGTTGCAATTTGGTCAGAACATGATTTGCCTTTCCTGAATCCAGCTTGTTCTGTGTTGTGGGCGGAGTTCTGTATCCAGTGCGTCCTTTATTCTCTCCAGGATGATGCGACTCAGGATTTTACTTGGCGTTGACAGGAGCATGATTCCTCTCCAGTTCTTGCAGAGTCCTAGGTCGCCCTTCTTTGGTAGTTTCACGAGGTAACCTTTCCTCCAGTCAGTAGGCACCTTTCCCTCTTTCCAGACCTTTTGCAATAATGGAGTCAGCATATCTGCTGTCGTCTCTGATATACGTTAAAGTATTAAAGGGAAGACTTTACACCTACAAGTTTCACACTTTATTCGTTATTATAAACCTAACGTATTATCTAAAGCACTCCAGCAATGACAACAATATGAGTGTTGGCAACAGCGATTTCCTTAAATGTATGTTGAGTTATAATATACAGATAGAAACTGTTGATTTAATACCTGGGTATGTCCCATGAATTAATCATCAAACATACAGAATTTTCACAACTCTGCACTTCCTGGTTATGTCGTTGGTTGTCTTTGAAGGTTCTAGTAAATTTACGTAAAAATCCTAATGACATTAAACTTACTAACCAAGAAGAACGTTGTTTTAAAAGGAGACACTGTCTTAAAACGACATCCATTCAAAGTGAATTAAAAGACAGCTAATTTTGACTGAATGTCACTGCCAGTAGCTTTTGAAATGCTTGTCTTAAGTAAAAAACATTTTCCATCCAATTTACAACGATTTTTTCATAATAATGTTTTATCACTTGAGCAATACTATCAGTAGTAATCTGATCAAACAATGCAAGTTATAGAACAATGTTAATTTTATCACGCTTATATTATTTACCATATTTAAACCTAAAGAGTTACCTGTCAGTTACTTAGGTGATAGCAATGTGAAATAGTTACTGAGATTGAAGCAGTGAAATGCAGAACTATCCGAAATCAAGTAGCTAATTCGATTTATTTCTAGATGAATTTCTGAGAGTTGGTCATTTTCAATTATGCAGTGAAACAAACTTTTACACCGCTTTCAGTTATAACCACTTTCATTTTCAGAAAGAGTATATTGTCTATTTTCACAAGCAAGTTGGTGAATAGATTTGAATTTTCAATGAGAATAAAATCTTGTTTTGTAGAAGTATGTATCCAATTTCCACTATGTAAAATTTGAGGTCAGTAAGTTGTCCTAGTAAGAAAAACACAACCGAAAATATGATGAACTGTATAAATTTAAACAAGCTCTAGTGCATTTAAATGCATAAAACTACTGAAACGTGACTTATATGTTGTTTTATACAGACACTTGTATACAGTGAATTAAATGATTCAGTACTCTGAACAAATAAGTACATGGAAAACCGTAACCATTGATCGCAATAATAATGTGCTCCTCATATACTACTGTTACCTGTTATATATTTTCTGTGAATAGTGTATTTCTATGCTGATTTTAAATTGTTTCAAAACAAAATGTTAACAGGTTCACAGTGACTTATTTCTTTGTTTCTGAAAAATCTTAAAAAGAATATCAACATAAGATGGTGACATATCATGTAGCATACAACATTTCCTTTTTGTCTAACTGTTAACTTTGTAATATAAAAAATAAAATACTAATGAAACCGCTTTCACATATCTAAAACACAATCTGTCTAAGAAAGGAATAATTATTGCCCTTGTAATGTAGTTAATGACCGCATTTCATTGAAACCATCAGATGATTATCAAGTATAATTGAACTCTTGTTAAAATATCACTGACAGTCACTAGTTACAGCTGTTCAAATATGAAATTGTAACGGTGCTTACTAAATTCGCTTATCAGCTAAAATTTGAAGCATTTGATTGTTATTAATAAGGCTTAAAGTGCAAAGACATGCACTTTCATTCAATTTATCATCTGATATTATTTCCACATTGAAACTGCCCTGTCTTTACTATTCAATCTATATCTTGAATGTCAGTCGGCACTGTCTATTCATGGTGAAAACCGAAAGTAAATGATATTTCATTGGTTGGATTTTGAGTGAAAAGTGCTTTGTCAAATATGTTCGTCAAAACTCACAGCTGATTACCCAACAATGTCTAACAGTATTCTGTATGTCTAATAAATATTTGGTTGATGAAACAGTTACCCAGGAAAGCATTTATTCGTATCACCTAATGAATCAAATAGATGGTTTCAGTCATTGAACTGGTAAAATTTGTGTACCAACTGGAAAAAGTACTATTTGTTTTCTCCTGTATTTATTACGATTCATCTTTATAAATGCAGAGCTCTACTTGTCCATCCTTTTCTCCATTCACTTTAGTTTGCTCTGATGGCAGTTCGATTACCAAATCGAGTTGTGTATCATGCCATACATATCTGTCCTTTAACTTATAAGTATATTACTTAGCTTAACACGGCTAAGAACGCTGATTTTAAATATCAGCATTTATCTGCCTACTTAGTTACTTGTATCTGATCATGTCCCGGCACGTGTCAATTCGCACTGACGCACAGCTATGCAAGCTTCTACAATGGTCTGTCGGCAGAAAATCATACAACCATTCACGTCTGAAAAAAATGATAGCACACCGAAGTACAGATTTAGTTCAACGAGGTTGACTGAGAAACACATAATCTGGGTCAAGTTAAACTTCTTACCTACTGATATGTAATATCTGAACACAGCACAAATCATCAGCGTGCCACTCACTTAGATGACTTTGCAATGATCGATCCGTGTTTAATATAATGCATTTTGACTAGTCACATTTAAGGTAACTTCAACAGATATACATGCCAATATTTTGATGCATTAAAGTCTAATTCGTCAGTTATGCTTAATTTCACCGTCGTAAAAGTCAGTGCTAATGCCATATGCTTATTATAACTAAAATAACACATCTATCTGGCAAATTAAGCTTAGATAATATAATTAACAATAGTCGCTGACTTCCAAGGTGTTTTGATATTGTATTGATCACAGAAATAATCCTGTGAACACTCCACACAAATTATTGCCGATTGTATTTGTGTTTGGTATCCTTATATTCATGTGTAATTTTATTAAATATTCATTCGCTTTTTACTCAGTTTGCCTATCACAAAAACCAGTGATCAATGTTGTTTTTGCAAATTACTTTACAAATAAATATATATATTATGCCTAAAACACTTTCCGGTTATCAGTGTTCATGCAACAGTTGCTGCAATTTACGGTTTTTTTCTTTTATTGACTAAAGTTAGACGGATTTTGTCCTCGATGGATTCGGTGTAGGTTTTCCTAAACATTCATCAACGCTACAATAAAAGAAATCAAATTTTAGAGAGGATATGGTCACAATATATTAGTATATAGTACTCTTTCACTGTTTGGTATATTGGATAACTGAAGTAATATGTATCATGTACTTTTGGCATTTATAGCATTATTCGTCTGCACGTTATACAACATGCCTATGAACTAGGGATGCTGTTGAGTATGTGTCCAAGAATTACTGAATTGTTAACTGTTTTCACTCATTGGTTAGACGTTAAATAATTTAAAAATATACCTTCTGTATATTCACAACACAAAGTAATTTGTTGCTTTTTTTCTAAAGACAATCACATCAGTGGTTGCATTCTTATCTGGCCCCGTAAGTCTCATATTTTGTGGACGACTCGGAAAAACCGCTCTCGCTACTGTTGGTCTCGCTAATTCTGTTTTCAATGTTGCTGGATTAGCTGTTGTAACTGGCCTCCTAACAGCAGCCGACACTTTGTTTGCACAGGTTAGTTAAGTATTATATCGTAAGTGTTGTATACGTATATATATATATATGTACAGCTTTTTGAGTTATCGATTTCTCAGTTACTTTATCAACTACCGTGTATGTGCGAAATATTTACGTACTGTAGTCCCTAATCACTGTATTGCTTGTATAAATGACGGACTTCACTGCAAATATGATTTTCAGTAGACTGATAAAATCCCTGAATAGTAAAAACATCTCTGAATCCATTGGTAAATATGGGTTGTTATTTTTTGATTCATCTTATTCTTGCTAAACTGACTCCATGGACAAAAGAATGCGTTCACAGGTTCACAGTGTCACACACAGCAAAACTGAAGCTATTGATGTTTTATGTCAAAGCTGTACTTTTTGTCATATTCCATTTCTTGTATTTTCACTTTAAAATTCATTAACAAGCATAAATGTTGGGATTAAAGTAGACTTGTTGGTTGTTCATAGAACGTAGGTATTATTTGAAAGCTTTTTTCCGAGCTTCGAGTACGAACGGTAAAATCAACACCTACTCGGATGCAAGTGCACCTAACTGGCAAACAGTAAACAAAATTAAATACGCCTCCTGGATTTAACTCCTAACCGCAAATAAGTACTACGTCATGCTTTACAAACAAGCTGATACTGAGCAGATTTTATCAATGTGAGCTAATTCCTTTGCAAACTGACATACTCTCAAAATGTTTAGAAATAATAATAACAAGGTAACTGGAATATGTGATACTAGACATTAGTAATTCGACTATCACCATATCTTTGTTGTTCATATATGAGGGAATAAATAGTGAGGCTTAAGAGTAAAGTGTAAAACATCAAGTGCAAAAGTGAAAACGTAGGCGAAATTAAGTTGTGTTTTTTTTTCTGTGCCATATCCTACAGTAATAATTTATGCACTTCTAATTCTGCTTTTCGTTGTTATTCATTTTTAAAACCTACAGACATATGGCAGTCCAAACAAAAGTTTAATGGGTGTTCATTTACAGCGTGGTAAGTGCATAATGCATTCACTAAAATGATTCAAAATCAAGTGTTGCTTTTTGTTGATCTAAAAATGATGACTTACAATATCGTTCAGATATTCATCAATAATTTCTCTTGCTCATTTAGGCATTTAGTAGTAGATTTAAGTAGTAAATACACTTTCGTTTGTCATAGATATTTGTTTGTGTGCTGATTGACAGCAATAACGATCCTAATTGCTGTCTTAAACTTCACTCCAAAATTTGATAGACACTTGTTGATTTTATAATACTAGTCAGATTAATCAGTGTCGCTTTTTTAAAATGTACACTTTTTAAATTAAAAAAATAACTTCTATGGGAAGTTATGAAAGCTCAACTATCTCAACTGATACACCAATATAGACAAATAAGTCAACAAATGTTCCTCTATGGAAATGAACTGTTGCACATTCCATAGGAACAGATGGTGAACTATGCTTGAGAAGGTTGAAGACCGCAAGGATTTTGGTGTACAAATCGATCATATGACGTGAATATGAAGGCAAAAGACTAACTGAAACATCTGGTAGCTAGCTCTTTCCCTCAGGATGCCTGGCGTTCTGAAAAATGAACAAATCTATCCGATAAGTGAATGATTAGAGGCATTGAAGGGAAAGAATACTCGACCTGTTCTCAGACTTTCAATAGGTGAGAAGCTTAACTCGTTTAAATGGAGTGGAGAGTTTAGCACTAGATATGAGTACTAAATGAGCGGAAACAGCGCTATGGGATGAACCAAGCGTTCACTTAACAGGCTTAACGGGATGGTCATGATATACCACAAAAGACATTGGTTAGTCCAGATAGCAGGACAGTGGGCATAGAAGTTGGAGACTGCTAAGGAGTGTGTAATAACTCACCTGCCGAAACAATCAACCCTGAAAATGGATGGTGCTCGAGTGTTAGCCCTATGCCGTACCGTTTCTGCAACCTGGGTGTAAGAAGTGTGAAGGCAAACTGACTTGCTCCAGGCATGGAATGGCGGCGATGGGTTGGAGGGTCATCATAGCTAGCCACAAGCGTCTAGCGTAAGCCTATGTGAAACAAACATGGGTGCAAATCTTGGAAGCATTAGAAAATATTCAAATGGGGAGCCTGAAGGCCGAAGTAGAGAAGGGTTCCATTGGAACAACAGCTGGCCACGAATCAGGCGGTCCTAAGTGGTCCAGTATTTCAGAACAGAGACGGGGTGACTGACACTGTCCTCTTTTATGCCTTGTTCGCACTGCTGTTAAAGTGCACTGGTGCAACACAGCCTTCTGTAGCGAAAGAAATCGGTTTAATATTATCAACCCTGTTTACGGAGATTGATGCGTCTTGGATCTATGATTCATGATGTTTCCAGCGCTGTAATGTGAACGGACTCAGAAACGTCAGTAGGAATTCTGTGAACAGTCCCATATTCATTATTAGTAGTAAATCAATCTCCTGACATAGGCTTGTTCAGAGATAAGGAGCTAGTCTTCGTAAAGCTGCATCCTTCTTGTAGTGTCTGGAACTCTCGTATTCACCCTTGAAAATCTGGGTCAAGGGATACAGTTTTCGTTGCAGGCTACACCCGTTTTCATAGCAGATTTCCAGGGTGATCAAATCCTGGTAGTTGAACGATGTCTGTAACGGAAGTCGGCAAACTGAATGCGTAACTTTGGGGGAAGGATTGGCTCTAAGGGTCGAGTCAGACAGGCAGAAATCAGATACGTATGGTTCAAGTTAGTGGCTGGTTTCTTTGCTTCTCTGTATGCTTCGGTGCATTCCGTATCCGACACGAGGCTGAGAAAGCTTATGTATTCCTTTTGTTTTGTGGACAGGACCATGTTTTTGGCTAGGCCCATTAGGTCTGGTTTTAGGACAGAACAATAATCATAAACATTGCTCCGAACTTCGGGGTATAGGGATCAACACGACATCTACATGTGATATGAGTGTGAGGATACTAAACCGTTTGTAGACGACTCAGTGTTTTGTCAGAGAGACGTAAGTGCACTGACAGCTATCACACTGCGAGGTATTGAGTCCTATCTATGACTTGACGTAATACTAGAATAGTAGAACGAACAATGACGAGTGCCGGGAAAATTAAAAATAGTCGGATGAAGATCGGTAATAGTTACTAGGATTATGAAGATGAGGAAGTATACATAAATATACATACATCTGATAAAACCATTGGTTCTTAACATGTTCCGGACTTTAGCCAAAAAGGCTATATCTCTGTAGGCCAGCCAGCAGTTTCATGGATTGTCACCATGCTTCAGTACGACAACGCTTAATATTCTTCAGACTTAATGGTACTTCAACTAGAATCTCTTATTTCGGCAAATATTTGCCTGTTATGCTCAACAGAAGTTTCAAACAACTCGGTGAATATTTATAATCATACTGGTGGACATGTGTTTTTTCCCTGGCACTCTACTTTCTACGGAATGCACGAAGAATGTCAAATGATCAAGCATTGAAAGTGTTTCAAATATTCTCCTCATTTATAGTATATCTGGCTAATTTTATCACTAAGTAAAGAATACAGTTACAAGTGAAATCACGTGAAATTGAAAATAACTAAGTGAAAACAAATCACTAACTCTCTATGCCGTTAATCTTAGCTGTATTACAAACCCGAACTACCTAGGCTCTCTCTTCAAACAGTCAACAATGAATAGCTGTAATAACTGAATGATAGGCACAACAATGAGTGAAATTGATATACTTGTAGTAATTGCTAATGGCCTACATAAACTACAAAATTTAACAAGATTATTTTTAACCAAATAATAGTCGGTTAAATAAAATTATATATGTTCGCCTTGCTGATGAGTGCCAACTAGCACGAAACCTAGGTCCAAGGCTTCCTGCTGATTACCTCCAACCATCTAATACCAACAATTCGCAGTGCACCATGATGGTGAGCCACCTAGATTGGTGGCCATATTGCAAGCTTGACTGATAGAAATCATTCTACACCGAAGATAGGACTAGACACATTACACTAGTTACTGACTAGTGTTCAATCAAAAATTAGCTTAACTGTAAATGCAACTATTTCAACTGAAATGCAAACATATATGTCAGTAGTTTATGGCTTACGACTTTCAAATTTATAATCCGCATACGTCGAGAATGTGATCAAGTCCTAAGCACATTTTAACAACGCTTTAGACTGATAATTGATAAAACGCAGCTGTCACTCATCAAATTGTTTGGAGGAATGAATGATGGACTTTTAGGCTGTTGACTGATCAGTTAGAGAAGACTAAACGACTTCTGAGCACTTGTGTATCCTATCTATACATATATTATCTTTCATTCTTAAGAGTTCGGTGACATGTAACACTGAAGATAAAATATTTATTAGGCGAAACAAGTGCCACAATATTATTTAGAAAAATACCAGTTTGTGAAAAGGTTTTTAACAAATAAATAAAACATTTGAAATTCGTATTTCAGTACGTATGTTGTTTTACAAATATGGTGATAGTGAACACAAATGAATATAAGGAAAAGGTGTATTTCGTTAACCAACAGTATTCCTGATTAAAGACAGCCTTCATCAAATTTTGCATACAATGTATTCCACTATTGCGTTTTCCGATCTCACTCTGGTTCACAGAACGAAAATGCTTTAAAATGAACATACCCTGAGTTATTTGGCGGGAATTGAGCAATCATAATGCCTGCTTATATGTATTATTTCTATTTGCTAAGTCTCAAACACTGAGGGAAAAGCACTTTAAGTATTCTAGTATTATATTGCAAAAAAGTCATATCTTTTTAATAAGCACTCCAAATGTATATTAATTTCTACTCCTTGTCATGTGGTTTTTTTTAAATTATATTTAGCCTTGGTGATCATGTCTATAATGTGTATGCCGTGTTGGTCATTCTATCTATGCATTGAACCGATACTACTCGCAATGAAACAAAACCCTTTAATAGCCAGGTAGGTTTAATTTAATTGAGCATTTATTATTTTTTTTAAACAAAATATTCGTAGTTAGTGAGATCTTCTGATATAGGATTTTCTTCACTAGTTAAAAAAATCTCTGTGCAATTATTATGGAAGCTGGAGGAATTTGCTTAGTCTCTGTAAAAGTTAAATTTGCAACCGAACGATTACCGGCTAGATTTCAAATGAAATGAGTAATTTTCGATTGAGAATCAACTAAATGGTGATGATGAGGTCCTTAGTTATGTTCTGCTCGTCCTACAAAAAACTTCAGAGTTTGAAGTGAAACTGAAACATGATCAACAGAGCCCTGAAAAAGGTATTATATGGTTCGATTTTTGCTCTGGGTTCTCCAGAATCCTGATATTTTGGTACAACTTCATTTGAATATTTTCCCATAGTGACTATTTTGTTCATTTCACGTTTAATAATGAACGAGAGGCATTACATACTGTGTGTACATGAACCACAAAAGTGAAAAAATGAATTTCCTGTAAGTATTAATTTACTTGAACTTACATTTGGTCGTAAAAATATGAAAAGTTTAGTCATACAACGTATGAATCCCTCCTTTAATGTGGTTCACTTTAATTCGAAAATGGTGAAAACTTATGCACTACAGACTTCAGAAAATATCTCAAACACAGAGGATCAATGATAACACCGCAATGCAGCCATTTGTTCCATGATTTACATGTGAACTGATTCAGAAAAATTCAGAGATATTGTTTATATCACACCGCTTGTAGGTTTATCACTTTTGATGAAATTTTCTTCAGTAGGCGTCCTTCAGCAAAAGCTGTCTCAAACTCTCAATGAGATGAAATAATTCTTGTGATATTGGTTAGCCAGAATTTGGTTTTGCCATTATTGTTGTCAGCATGGAAAGTATTAACTCAAAAGACGAAATGTTAAACAATAGACCGAAAAAATTTCACTCATATCTACACACCAAAGAGAATACACAGACTGTTTTATTTGGCTTGAAGCGATAAAACCCACCACCTATTGAACCCTTACTGTCTTTTAATTTTGAAAACTATTCATCGAGAGTACGAGATATGGTCTAGTTAATGACGACAAGTGGTGGAGGCCAAGTTGCTCACTTGGTCCTGTTTAGGATTCGTCAGCCCGATGCACGTGCATCTCCACTAAGTGATAGTGTATGAACTCAGACTCGAATCAAGTAACCACAATTTCAAATGTCAAAGTGTCATTCGCCAGACCACTGGGTCACAAAAGCCACGTCTTGTGCAACGCATATAATTTCATATTAGTTTTCAAGTTGATTTTTGTATTTCTCGTTGACTGATTGTACGATCTCTGTTAACTTATAGACTTCTGGTACGGTGCTTTAAAGGTGTTATTTTTGGAGACCAGCATGTACCAACTAATAACATACCATTTTGTATGAATACTGGTCTTCTGAAATTGTGTTTTTATTGCTTCTCAATAAATAAAAGTCGTTTAGTTGTTGAATAAACCTATATGAAAGGCATTCATGACTTTTTATCTTCAACAGGCACTTTTATTTTGAACCAAGTTAACAAGAAGTTTTGTATTTATCAATTTTGAAACAACCTGTAAAATAAAGATTGAAAAAACTAAAACAATGTCTCCTAACTATATGTTTGTTCGAATATTAAATGCATTTGATATAACATAATGCGACGGATTCTTTTACTGTTAAATGGGTTCCTATAGTTCTATTAACCTCAAATTGGTTAAATTTTCTTTGTGTCACACATTTTGTTTTCTAAAATCACACAAACAGACTTTGTGAACTATATTTCTTCTAAAAAGTACTTTGAAGCGTTCATCATTAATGATATTTCTCTGATGAATTGATCACTTTCACAAGTTCATTTATAAATGTCTGTAAACTAGCGTGAAAAGCAGCATGCAATATGCCTGATTGTTCAGCGTTACTTTTGATATTATGTCCACAGTTATCTTGTATAGCAATACGCCTTTAAAATGCTACTCACTTCTGATATAATCATAAGAACTACTGCGTGTCACATCTAATTCGCTTCGTCTTAGCCTAAAGCTTAAATCGTCTGAGTTTAATCTAACCAAGCTTAAAACGTAAGATTTTTGTTGCATCACTCATTTTTTTTTCACGCCAACAGTTGGTTGAGATTATTCTCCTTGACATTTTGACAGTTTTATTGTGCATATCGTGCATATTCCATCATATGTTTGTCTGCTGAACCTACCAGGTAGATTACACTTCTTTTTTCTGTACGAACTTGAAGTTCCACAGAATGTTTTTTTTAAAAAGATACCTTAGTTTAAAACAGTTAGTCCCTCTTATAAATTTGGATAACTTTATAGAAGACGGAGATTATCTGAAAAATGTGATGTATTTGCGCTATACATTTCGAACAATCTGACCACACATTTACTTGTCAAGTCGATATATATGAAAAAGTTAAATTAAACAAAGTGACAAAAAAAGGATTTAAGAATGATTAACACAACGTTTGGTAATCAAATCAAATAAGGATTACCAAGGTAGGTTAGGAGTAATAATAAACTGTTTTTGAATACACAGGGGGGAGGCTTAAGTTTATAAATAGCTATAGCCTCGGCGTATTTCAATAAGCGCCCTGGACCGTTTTTATAGATGACCTTAAAGGCTGAGTTAACATCAATCTTATGGTTCATCTCGATTAAGTGTTTAGCTATAGACGAGGTTGGTAGTCTGACACCTGCATCTATTGGTTTTTTCACAGTTCATTTGTTTTTCTAGCCATTTTGGGATATGCTCTCCCACCGTCACATGCAAAGCACGACTACACGAAAATTGGTAGTGTGAGATGTGGCATAATCACTTGTGCACTTCTGAGGTTTGCAGTGGAGCATATTTTTAGTTTTTTCGACAATTACAAGCTGGGCTGCATAATAGGTTCTACGGACGATCGAATTTAACCTTTGTCTCAAAATCCTACTGTTTATTTCCCCGTTACATGGTAATTTGATGAAAACATTTTTCTTAGAGGCGGTATGGATTGTAGGTTTGGAGACTAATTGACTTCTACACCTGTTTGAAAATTTTAAAGGATATCCGTTTTCAACAAGAATATCCATCAATATTTCGTTTTCTTTGACTATGACATCAGCCGTACAAACAATTCCAACACTGGTGTGAACACGGGCAGTAATTTTGCTCGAAATATTACCAATAACAAAACTTATCATTGTGTGTAAACTATTAAAATATAATTATACTTTATTTGACGTTGAATCCTCTTAAATAGACATTTCACCAAGCCTCTCTTATACTGTAATGGACAGAAACTGTGAAAACTAAGGTACTGCCCTGTCCAAGTGGGCTTTCTGTAGATTGATCGTCTTATTGGACCATCATTTCACCTTCGTTCATCACACACTACATCAATGGCAGTGTTCTAATCAGAGACTATTCCAGATAGTGAGAATCTTGTTTGAAATCACATGTCCCGTAGTTTTGTACTTATCGGTAACATCATTCACGTTATTTGTGTAGCTATCAAATAAACCTGGTGTCCCGAAATACATGACATCACCTGGTTTCATTATGGATAAAATTTTATTTTGATTAAGTCACATAGTGTTATACCGTATTATATATTGATGACGTTTCGAGCACAATTTATTGGTTCTGATCATATCAAGGCACTCACATAACTTTTTTGCTTCATTTATACACATCAGTAGAATTGATTAGACATTTGAATAAAATTAATATAAGTCTTGCGTGAAACAGAAAGGAAGATAAAGTACATTTGGAACCAATATTAGTGTTACCAATAAAATACAATAGGATGGGAAATAAGACGAGTGTTGACTGACAACATAATGGAATTATACTCTACCACAGTGCCCAAGTTTTATCCTTATATCACCTATTTATTAAATGTGTAATAGATGTGTAATAGGCTGAAAACCACCACCCACTGTCCACTAATTATTTGTCAAAATACATGCTACACTTGTCCACTCAACTTTGTGGATTGATTAAAGGTCAAATAGTTTAAAAAGCAAACAAGCAATAATTAACCGTAGTTCGTTGACAAATTTTAGCCAAAAACTGTCTACTTCAAAAATAAATGATTCCATGGATATTTTAGACTCTGATTACAGTGCCATGCAATGTCACACGTGTGTTTCCTACTATTTGAGACTCTTTCTCGCTGTATACCTACAATTTTATTGATTCCGTCATTGAGACTCAAACTGACCAACTGACCACCATCTGAAAAAAATTAGATAATTATCCATTTAAACATCAGCGTCACGATAGCCACTCTGCATTAACACTTTTGTCAGTTTGTTGGCGGAATTTCCAATGTTCTCTATCGGTTAATATACAGGAGCGAATTGATTAGTGCCTGCTGGCGCAATGCTTATTATGACACCACATAGAAAACTATTGAAGACTAAATTGTATGTAACAGGTCTACATGAAGTCGAACTAAACTTGTGTATTGCTGTTCATTCAAAGTGTTTTAAATTTGTATACCAGGCAGTGAACCTACTTATATGCTGAAAAGGTATCTTTAAAAGAAGGTTAAGTCGTTTTTCGACATAAAGCAGAAGAATTAAAGTAAATAAAGTGAATACTATTGTATAACACTCTTCTGTGTGAAACATGACCGAATATTTTAGCATAGGCTTTAATGGTATTAGGTGTGTTCCAGTACAGCGTTTTCAGTAATAAGAAGTACTTTGAGAAATGGTATGATTAAATCTATCGACTGATTAGATCTAATGAGCGCCTTTTGATAACAAGGTATGGATATTTTGGAGCATCGTTTGATGTGTGTTCACTACGGGATCTGACAGAGAGTGAACAGCTGACCAGTACATCCACAAAGACATGAAATAAACCTGGTTGTCTTCGGTTAGGATTTTGAAAACGATATTACTCACGCCAGTTACATGTAACTGTCATAAGACGATACTGTTCTGTCAAATACCTCTTCAGTAAGTGGTTGAAACCGAATTCTTTACTCTAAACGTTTAGGTTAATGAGAACTGTTGATATTCCTAACTGTTTTATGGGGATCACAAGCTGATTTGTAGTAGACTGCTGATTCTAACAGGCTGCTTCAAGAAGAGTAACTACCTAGTCACTAAATCTTAAAATACAGTCTTAATCAGTCCATCATTGAGTTGACCTCGTGAAGGCGTTTCATTTTTTGTCCTCCTGCATTCAGTAAGGTGCAGCAAAATATGTCAAGGGATCACAGCATTCTTTTGCTATCCTGATACTGATTCGTATAAATGATAGTTCTTCTGTATCAATTTTGTGAGTGTGTTCGCTTTCAGTTCATATTGTGTTTTTTTTTCTTATTTGTGAGGAAACGCCTGAACATTTGCGTATTTTATCAAGAAACGTTTAAACATATGCTAGGAATTTCAAAACTACAGCTTTTACTTATATCACTGAAGACTGAACACCTTTAAATTATATCAGATTTCATTTCTTCTACACTTCCCTCTTATTTTCCATTGTAGAAAGACATCTGACTACTTACTGTTTATGATGCCGGGATTATATGTAAGTGATGACTTTATTTCTGTTGTAAAATAATATTAACTACTAATTAGCCAGTTAGTAATTAATTTGTTTATCTCCTAATTTCCATGAAGTTCGCTGCCATCGGTCAAGTTTTAACGAAATATGTTCAAAGTCAAGTGAGTCTAAAAATTCATTTTTCAGTGGTAACAATAATAATAATGAACCAAAATTATGCAGAAATCTTTTCATTTTATAAGATGAATGAATACAGAAACATTTTGATACAGTAAATATATCATTCATAAATGGCTTTCACTACTCCTGAACAATAGAAAGACCTAGTTAAAGCTTCATAAGGATAATGACTGTCGACGAATTTATGAATTATACTTTTCATATACTTCATCAAAGCTAACTGATGTGTCGGTAGGTGAAATTTCCAAGGCCCCGTATAATTGAAGCATAGTGTAATGAAAAATATGACTGGTATTTGTCTTCAATGCATGATTTTATTAAAAGTAATAAGAACCGGCATCTAGAACATTCTCATTTCAGTTGTTCGCTGAATACTAGGTGAAACTCTATCAAAAGGCATGTGTCACTTCTAGTCATAAATATTTATCGATACTGAACAACTCTGTGAACCTGACAATAGTAAAGCACTCAATTAATGAACGAATATAAGACATTTTATTGTCAAAAGAATGGATACTGAACAAAGACTACTCTTTTCGATAAATTCATCATCAGGCTCTACAGTTATATATACATTATAGTGAATGAATGAATTAGTGTTATGAACGACATTAATGTTTAAATAACATATAATCAGAAATATTGATAGATTACAGCTGAATAGCACCAACATAAAATAAGCTGAATGTCAGAAGAATTAGGAAAGATAATATTGCAAATTCATGAGTTTATAGTTTCTGCTGAGGGCGAGGGGAGTAGTAGGGGTTGGACTTGTTCCTTTAGAACACAGAGCACAGGTTGTTTGAGGCGAATTGCAATAGCTTCTGCTGTTTGGAGTATGCGGTGCTTCGATGATTTCGGTAATTTGTTAGGCACCCGATATATTATATAGAAGGATTCTTCTACGCTGGCTTTGTGACCGGTTTGCACCAGATGGTCTAATATCGAGCTGTTAATACTTTTAACTACACCTTTACTTAGCCATAGTGGGAGATGTTCTCGAGCACGAAAAATCAAGTTCCTAGAGCAACGGCCAATATAACTCGCTCCACAAGCGCAGTTGAATTGATAGATACAATTGTACTGTTATAAAGTTTGCTGGATTCTCGGCTCTTATCTATGGCATTACAGCATAAAACTTAGCACGGGTAGTAGATATGTGGAAAAAACAATAATTATAAATCGTAAACTTTCATTTACTTTGTTTTCTATCAAAAGTGACAAAAGTCAATAAGAGTGGAGGTTCTTGAAGCGTCTTAATATAATAACATCATATTCAAAACCACTCTAAAGTCAGTAGGTCACACAAAACCATAAAACAGGAGTTAACCACTTCAATTTTAAAATTTATTACGACTGACAAAAAAGTACTAAACTGTGCTCAACTAAAAGTTTTGCTTAGAAAAACTAAGAACCACAAAAATTAAGGCGAACTTCAAACTTTGGCGCGATGATAAGTTTATTTATACGGATTCGGTATGAAATTTCGGTGCATTTCATTGTCGTTAAGAGAAGATAAATTATATTCAAAACCAACAAGACTGGTTTTCGTAGTACAGCGACTGCTTAAAGCGTCAACACGCAAACCTGTGTTGTCTGACTAACTAGACTTCTGCATAACAATCTGCCTTTACCAGTTTTTTTATGAATAGTCGTAAATGTTGACTCTTTCAGCGTTCCTCTGAAAGGTCAGTTTCAAAATGTTGTGGGAAATAGTACTAGATCGATCGGAAATCAATATGAAATCATCACTGACGTCATTTTAATTCATGCAACAGTAAGCAAGAAAGAACAGTGACCATCGCAATATAAGAACTGAAGACACTTGGTTATAGTGTAAATAAGACAACATTCTATTATTTATTTTTTTATTTTATTATAGCTTGATTCCACACCATATTTTTGGTACAAGTATGAAATTTTCAGCATGCGATATCGGTAGCCCAAATTTAGCAGGCCGACCATAGATATCAGGTGTGCGTCGGCGGGGAAATCGAACCTCGGACCATGTGCATGGTCGGCGAGAGTCCTAACCGCTGTGCCTCCGACGCAGTCTACATGTATGTAAAAACCAAGTTCAGACTTAATAGTTCGAAATAATTTTAGCATTGGGTATCTGATATTCTAGCGTGACACTCGAATATGGATAAACGTTTCTTACCTACTTAACTATCCACTGACATCATTAAGAACATTTAACAAAGTAAATTTATCATGAATAACATTGACAACATGCATTGAATTATTCTGTATTTTAGAATCGTGTCTATATCCCTCTGGTAATCGGGATTCTGACGAATTTGTTCAATGCTATGCTGCATTATGTTCTTTTATTTGTTTTTCAAATCGGAGTAAGGTAAGCTAAGCCATGTCTGTTGAATTCATGTGTGCATTTTTACTAAGTTCTAAAGACTGATTATGTTAATTACCGAGCCCAGAGATTCAAGCAGATTATAAATCCTGGTGCCTACCAAAAGCGTTCATGATCGTTATTTCAGTATGGTGATGATTGAATACCACAAATATCTAGTGAGTGTAAAAATTAAGCTTTATATAAGCAAAGTACCACACAATTCTCACTAACCCAGATAATATTTATTTCTGGAAATAAGACAAAGTAAATAGGTAATTTAATCAATAGAAGTAGTTCTCTTAGCGAAAAAAACTATTTTGCTTGCTCGAATTTTAAATCTTCTGTTAAGTTCAGTGGATACAGATATCTTGGTATCATACAAAATCATTATGATCGCGAAAGTTCGAACATATAGTGAGTAACAAAAGTTGTGCGTCGGTGGCATATTCGTAGAGTGCTCACCGACAACGCAGATGGTTCGGGGTTCGATCCCAGGCCGACGCACTCCTTTACCTCGCTAAGCCAGTAGTAAGACTGGTAAGGAGGGAAGGTCGGGCATGAGGTTAGCAACCCCATCCTGTAAAAATGACCACCACTGCCTCCAGTTTGAAGTCCTATGTTCCACTGGGAACGTAAAGGAATAAAAGAAGTTGTGAATTTAAAAAAGAACAGATAGTGATCACTACACAAAATATTTAGTCATACATTTTATAAGCAATCAATACTTTTGTTCTTTTCCTAGAGGTTCGGCTATTTCTCAATCATTTGCTTACTTGTTTCAATGCCTTTGCTTCCTGCCATATATTATTATGTTGGAGAGATCTGGAGTGACGTGGAAAGGTAAATTGTCATTTTTCATAGTATTTATTAAGTTTGACGTATTGTACAACTTCAGTATGCATATAAGAGTATTTATATCTCTAAATGTAAATGTGAATTCCTTCACCTCTGTTATCATTCAGAATCAGAACCATTCAATAGTAATATTTATGGTTCAGAACTACTAACTATTCACCGTCTGATCTCAATGAGAAGTAGTATATTTCTTATAGATCGCCTAGAACCTTTCGCCTATACAATACGGTACACCTATTTTGTGCCAGTCAGAAAAATTAGGCTAAATGTGAAGATAACTGCCTAATGTAGTGAAAGTATGGATTGAGGATCTTATCGTTTAATCAATTACCTGTAGGTCTTATTTCAAATTCCAAATGTACATGATTGTTTGTCTGTTCCGGTGACTCCTTTTTGTTGATTTATCTGAACCAAACTGACACCTTTCTGTCAGCATTTTGGTTCCTTGAATAGATACCATGGTATCGCCTTTAGTTTTAATCTAATATTATTTGTTTGATGATAGCTAGCAGAGAAATACCGGAGGTGCATTTGTTTTGTTTGAAGCCTGGCGGCTAGAATTCATTTCTCCTGAGGAATTTACGGATTTTTTTCATAACTATTTTCTAGGTTGGTCAAGTGAACTCTGGCTTGATTGGGGTAAATGGTTTAAACTCGCAATGCCTGGTGTTGTTATGATTACACTTGAGTGGAGTATTTTTGAAATCGGCAGCATTATTTCAGGTAGGCTATGATGCATAGTTTATTTTTCTAAAAATAATTTGTGTATTTAGACTTACACTACTTCTAAACAACTAAGGATGATTACAGCACATTTCTCTCATTACTTAACAAGACACTGTCAGTATTCAAGTATTGGTTTGTAGGGATTTGGTTGATTGGTTACAGGATTTCATCATGAGCTGACATTGGTTAGAGAACCATTGGAAAACCAGCTGGGAGTACTGGACAGCTGTCTCTTCCATCCTAGTTTGGGACTCTTCAGCAGTATGCACCCAGTGGGGCTAGAACTCAGGACCTTCTGGTTACAAGGCGAGCTCGTATACCATTAAGCCACTAGGGCCCGATCCAATGGCCCATGAATTCTAACTTCTGCCAATTCACGATATAGCACAACCGCTAGCCAATGTCTTCGGCGAGTATATTTCCTCACACCTACCTGAATAGGGCCAGGTAGGTAGTAATCTGGGGTTCCAGTGGGGAGTTGTGCCCAGTAGGGTGAAGCCGGTCGGGTGTGAGGAAATATACTCGCCGAAGACATTGGCTAGCGGTTGCGCTATATCGTGAATTGGCAGAAGTTAGAATTCATGGGCCATTGGATCGGGCCCTAGTGGCTTAATGGTATACGAGCTCGCCTTGTAACCAGAAGGTCCTGGGTTCTAGCCCTGCTGGGTGCATACTGCTGAAGAGTCCCAAACTAGGATGGAAGAGATAGCTGTCCAGTACTCCCAGCTGGTTTTCCAATGGTTCTCTAACCAATGTCAGCTCATGATGAAATCCTGTAACACTTTCAGTATGTCCTGAAGAAATGCATTTCGTCTGTTCAGGAGAACCTCAGAAACCATCGGATGAACTGGAATTCTGGGTACTTTAGGTCATATCAATCCTCGGGTGCTTACAGTTGTGGGGGACGTGGATGAAACTGTGGCAGCTATAAAAGTATTTCTCAATCAGTCCATACCCTGCTCTTCCGCAATATGAACGAATATACATAAGGAGCATCCAACTGAAACTTTAAAATCAGTTAATCTTCAAAATTGTTCCAGTTGAACAAGATCTATAGATTTTCTAGTATGCATTGAATAATGAATGATGCAAACTCTTCACTATCACTGCCGTTGTCTTAGTTTATTATTCGCACACTTCATTATGTAGAACTAACCATGTCGCATAGAGGTAATAAATTCATCTATTACAGGGCAGAAACTGAGTCAAAAAAGTCGAAAGAGGATTATTTAATCTGCTAAGATAAATTAAGATTCTCAAACGACTAGAACTCGAACTAAACTATAAAAGGTTGAAATAGGCTAATTTTTTATTTTTTTTCATGTTATTTTCCAAAAGCTTATTGATACAGTGATGCACATATTTTGATGTTTAATCATAAATAAGAACTAATTTGTGCATTGTTTGAGATATGTCCAACCTACAGTATTTTTCCAATGTAAAATATTGTCCTTACGCTCAAATCAAAAATAAGCTTGCTGTTAGTCATTACAGACAGTAATTAGGTAACGGGTATAAAGTCTCAGTGAATTATGACTAGCAGACTTACTTGAGCCAATCAGAAAACAGGTCTCCCGCCACTCAGTGCGAGATTCATTTGAATTCGTCAACTGCGTCGAAAACGTCAATGTTTCTAATCAAACGATCATCTCGCTAGATGCTGTCTCATTTTTCACAAATGTTCCACTAACTGAAACAATTTGTCACATATGCGAGCTCATCCACTCAGAAGGAGTAAACATCGGCATCCCCACCGACTATCTAAAAGAACTTCTGCTGAGATGCACCCTAAACGTCTAGTTCTCCTTTAATAATTAAATAATCGTCAAAAGGATGGTATAGCTATGGGCTCACCACTAGGCCCTCTGCTTGCGGATTTCTTTATGTCGAAACTCGAAAACACTTGCCTAAAGAATATGATTGACAACTTTGAACTCTACAAGAGATACGTCGACGACACCTTCATCATCTGCAACAACGAAGAGAATTTAGAAGATATCTTGAAGTTCTTCAACAACTGCCACCCTGCGATTCAGTTCACACTAGAGAAAGAGTCTAACTCAAAGATATCTTTTCTTGACGTTCAACTAACGAGATGCCCACAAGATGGAACATTAAAAAGATCCATCTACAGAAAGCCAACGTGGAACGGATAACTCACTAACTTCCACAGTTGGGTACCTCTATATACTAAACGAAACTTAATCCGTTCATTAAGCCACAGAATACGCAGAATTTGCAGTCTGGACGCCATAGAAGACGAAATGAACACTCTTAAGAAAATCCTCCTTGAAAATGGCTATACAGAAAGATTTATCACAAAATCAATGAAACCCAGACCAGAGAAGCCGCCCACACCCAGCGCTCCAAAGAGACTTCTCTATATGAACCTACAGTACAATGGAGACCAATCTACAGAAATACTGAGAAATCGACTCTCCCGCTCATTGAAGAAAACCTTCTTTGCAGCTGAATTACGACTGACGTCCTCCACGAGACCAATGATTCGCATGAACGTGAAGGATAAGCTACCGTTGTTGGCCTCGTCTATGTGCATCTACCAACTTACCTGCTCGTGTGGAGCCAAGAATATCTGCCGTACTCAGCGTTCGCTATCCAAACGCGTCAACGAACATTTAGCTTCATGGTTTTATAAAGGAGAAAACCGATGCCCCCGCAGCTCGATCCTTGAACATTTGATCGATTCTGGACACCAAGTCAAACCAGAAATAAACTTCAAAGTTATCTACAGAATACAAGGCAATCTTGCTAAAAGTGTACGGATCAAACTTCTCCACATCGCAGAAGCAATGGCAATTCATCTGCTAAATCCTGAACTCTACATACAAAGGAAATTCGTTCATTCATTAAATCTAAAATGGATGTAATCTTTCTTAATTTCAGTCTTACTAATTGTATTATTTTGTCTCTTGCATTTTATTATTTCACATCTTCATATATATTATTCTCTACCCCACCTTTTTGTAATCTCTACCGTACAATGTTACTAACTTGACCCACGTCCAGTTTCTAGTCAACTGTGTTACGTCATCCGATTAACTTACTTATTTTTAACTGCATTATTCTCTAACCCCACCCTTATTTGATTTTAAACACCACTCATTAACACTGTTGCCAACCTGACCTAATCTGAATTATACTCAACTGTATTACGTCATCCAATTCACTTAATCAGTTCTATTTTATTTTCCATCTTAACGTTTGTCTCCAAGCCAAAAAATACTTATACTACATATTTATCTAAACCTTATAAATCTAATGTACACACACACAAACAAAATTGTATAAATATGCGATTGTACAGCTCAGTGAATGAATTCTCCGAAAAGAGTCTCTTCGCTGAACGCCTCCTTTTCTTTTATAATTATGACTGAGCTGAATAAATTACTGGTTGACTTTGGGAAGTGTTGATGAACACCTACTAACTAATGATATAAACAAACACTTTGCCAAAGTTTATAATCCCAAAAACTGAGGTGTGGAAGAATATTCCTCATTGTAAGACAATTCTACAGCAGATGGACGACTTTACCGATACCTTGTTTTGTGATGATTTGAGAATTTCAATTAAAATAGACTTATAATTATTCAGCTAATTATTTATTCTTCTTATTCAATAATATTTGCAATGTGGATGCTGGTTACTAGATTTCAGAGAAGTTTTTATGTTCTGCACCCCGAAATATGTCAGTGACCAGTACAGAAACTTATTGATGATCCTCATCAATGCACAGTACTACCTAAAATTCGAGTAGTTTACTGAAAGCATCCTAAAATTAGAGAAACTGCCGTTTCTTATTTATATTACCTTGACCTGGCTACTTAATACGACTAACTGAAGATAATGATATCATTTCAGTCATCCGGGTCAACAGTATATTTATTGTAGGAATTACATTGACAATTACGATGCTATTCTATGTCTTTATAGAAAGCTGCTAACATACTTGCTTTTAAGTTGTCAAAAATTAGCAAGCCATAATGACAGTTAACTTCATTTGAAATAACAACCATAGGTACTATTGGAACAATAGAAGACAAGGGCCAAGCAACCGATCGTTTATTAAGGAAAACCAACACATATTTATAGATTTTAATGTACATTATTGTAGATTTATAAAATTATACTGTAGATTATTGTTAGTAGAAAATACAGTCTTTTGATTGGTTGTTTCTCAGAGAAAGTTAACCTCGCATCTCTTTGTGGCTGTGTCAGATCATCCATATGCTAACTGTATCCGCCTACGCAAAGCCTTTGTTCTCATTTTCTCACCACCAATATTGGGGACATAAACATTGACGTCAATTACTAGCCAGCAGCCAGCTCTCACCACACTATAATTCAAGACTGAGATCATTTATAACACTGTGAAATTAGCTTACTCGTAGATATTTCTGTTTATCCTTATCAAATTGCGAGTGGATGTTAGCATGGAACATGAAGCAGAATATGTCCAACAGCTTTACCACATAAGTAATTGATAACAGCATGAGTAGAAACCGAATCTTGTTAGTTAAACTGATTATGTTAAGACCATTCACTATCATCCGATTTCTGTCACAAATAAACTTCATTGTGTATAAAACAAATTTGTTTGTTTGTACTAAAATCTTACCCAGCACTAGGTGAGTGGAAGATTAGTATCGTGTTTACATAGCCGAAATCCAGCAAAGAGTACTACTGATAAGTGTATATTGTCAAACTACTTATATAAATTAGTAGTAAACATTATACAGCCTTAAAGTAGGCTTGCTTGAAAGTTAGACTGATAGATAATTTTCTTGGTTTTTCAGCGAGTGAAATCATTGTGAAAGCAATACTCCATTTCTAGCATTTCAGAAGCCCCATTTAGGGCTTATATGACATTGAAAAATATCGTTAAATCAGCACACATTAAGTGCAGGATTTTGCTGGACGGCCTCAAAGTTCACCATAAGCTTCCCTAGTAAGGCATTATACAAAAGCACTCTGAGAATAAACCCATAATTTCGAAGTTTTGAGGAAAGCAGCCCAGTGATATTACGCTGATATACAGTCTTATAGTCTGGATTCCAAAATGTATTATATTAGATAATATGAAAAAATTACAGAATGATTTTATCAACCATCGCCCGTAATCCTATTAATACATTAGCTGTACAGTCCTTTGACTACAATTAGGACACCAAGGAATGTATCTACCAAATGCACGTTAAACTTGAAGTCAGTTTCTATCCAGATGAATTTATTATTATTTTTCCCTTGAGTCCCGAGTGAAACATAGAGCGTCAACTACACATCTCTGCTTTGTGCTATTCTCTCCCGCCCTCTTCATCTGGGTTCACAGTTGGCCATAATCTCTCATCTCCTCCTCACACGATCTCATCCATGTCACCCTAAGATGACCCACTCGTCGCTTCCTATTTGAATTACACTCGAGCGATGGCCTGGTGCGTGATGTCATTCGATGGTTTCCTTAATATATGCCTGATCCATCTCCATTTTCTCCTAAATATTTGTTAAGCGATCGGCTCTTGGTTGGTTTGTTCTCAGTCAGAGTTTCTTGTTACTAATTCTTTCTGACTGGCTGGCTATTTGATCTTCAATATGGATCCAGAGAAGGCAGCTAATGATAAAAGTCTAACTAGTTGAAAATGCTTTTCGTGACAAGCAGTCCAAGTTTCTGACCCATAGAGAAGCACTGACTTCATATTGGAGTTGAAAATCCGAATCTTGTTCTTTATCCTGAGGCGGAGTGCAGTGAAGATGATTTCCAAACTGTTTTCAGGTTGACAAAAGCGTACGTTTCTTGCCTTTCCGATTCTGGCTGGCTGGCTTTGACATCTTCATCCGTTCCAACTTCCTGTAGTTGAAACCGTACCTCTTAGATAAGTGAAGGCAGGAAGTGACCTCATTTAAATATCTCCCGTTGATGGTGATTGGTGCTGGTTGTTGCTGTTTTCTGATTATGTTCATCACCTTCGTCTTCTCTATGTTCACCTGGAGTACTGTCTTCGCTGCCTCTTCAGCAAGTTTGCTTGTTTTTTACCTGTAAGTCTTCGAGTTTGTGTGACACCCGACATATATCATTTGCGAATTCCAGATCGTATAGAGCTAAATTTACTGTAGTACATAATGATGATAATAATAATAATGATAAATAACCCAGATTCTGCATAACTTCAAAGACAGTGTGAAAACTACATCTCATGCTGACAGGCAACATGTACAGAGACACCAACTTGCTAACAACTGTTAAATTATAAAAACTGATAATTAATTCAGCTGTAGGTTGCTGGATTGGAGGAATTTCGTGGAAATGTTTACTGCGTTTGTCAGCAAACTAATACGTTTGAAAAATTCACCAAAATTCAGAACCACAAAATAATAGAGGATTTGATCAGATCGAACTATGTTTTTGAGTCCTCATTAATATATATATACATATATACTTAAGTTCATTTTTGGTTTTATCAGATTTCTTAAAGAAATAAATTTCAAATTTGTATATCCAACTCCTAACAGGTACACTTGGCGAACGAGAATTAGCCACACAAACAATCCTCTTCAATATCGAATCAATCTGCTATACACTAGTAAGTTGGATAATTCATGCAAGTTTGACAGATGAGAATAAGGCATAGTAATAATTCAATAATTGTAGACATGAATTCGGCATATTACACCACAGATTTTCTCTTTGCAATTAAGTATTCACCAAAGTGTATGAATTAAACGTTCATCCTCCTGTTAGTGTTTTCTGCTCAGCAATCACACTGATCTCTAAATCTGAACTAAAGTTTTCATATCATCTCAGAATGTGATCGTTTTCTGTTATCTGCTCAAAGATATGAAAATTTAGTGAGCACTGTGAGTTAGACATTAGCGCTTTATTCAATAAAAACGCGTGTGTCAATCGGAAAATGAAACCCAGTAGCAGTGTTTGTCACTTAAATATATAGCTGAAAACACATTAGACTTTGAGGAGGAGGAAAAATTGGAGTAAAATAATTTTACACCACAACTTTCTCACGATCATTCTAGCTTATCCTTGAATGTGTTCACAGACCCATTAAAACTTTTATGCCTTTACCTTAAACAATATAATGAAAGTTTTATATCGAACTTTCATGAATGCTAAAGTTGTTGCTTACTGACAATTTTTCTTCACAGATAAACAAAAATGATGATACGCTACGTTTTATAGCATTATTTAAAGACTAACAACACATTAGCATTGTTCCTTCGGTAATCAAAGCTCTTTTTAGGAGAAAGATAACAATAATTTGAACTCTGTGGCATTAATTTCATTCAGACAACCCAGAATCAAAAAGTACAGAACCACTTCTATTCTGTAGACATTTCCCTTCGACAGTCTGGTTCAAATATTACAGGAAGAATGAAATTCATCAATGTTTCTCATACGTATCCTATGTCTTGAAGTCTCAATCAGTTAATTTCTGTCAGTACCCAGTCTAGCCATGACATATATATATTTATATAGATGCAGTTATAAGATTTTACTGTTAAGCAAGTATTTGATAAAAGTATTTGTCTCTTCGTTTCAGTTGCCACTAGGCTTTGGTATAGCAACGAGTATACGTTTAGGACAATTTCTTGGTGCACGATCAGCGGCTGGACCCCGTTCCGTCATTTCTACAGCTCTTGTTGTGTTATGTAAGCAGCTCAAATTCTGAAAATTCCCTTACATCCTTTTCAGATCTATTCTAAGTACAACCAGTTCATTAGAAGTATTTCATTATATTGTCGTACTCAAAATCCTACTTAATAAACATTGTTCTTGCTTTTAAGTAGAGACATACATTCCTGCTACGTAAAAGAATTCATGAAAGAATGCCTATATAACTCTTTTAATGTACAACACGTTATTCACTGCTTACTAATACGTACTTACTGTCATCCTCCGTAACTGTTTAAATCCCTCTCAGATGCGGAACATATCCTTTGTCATATCTTTAAATATAAATTGGATTGATTGGTTACAGGATTTCATCATGAGCTGATATCGGTTAGAGAACCATTGGAAAACCAGCTGGGAGTGCTGTAGAGCTGTTTCGTCCTAGTTTGGGATGCACCCAGCGGGGTTGCAACCCAAGACTTTCTGGTTACAAGGCGAGCTCGTAGGCCATTACGCCACTGGGACCCAATCCAATCGCCAGCCCATGAATTCCAACTTCTGCCAGTTCACGACATAGTGCACATACGTTTGGTCTCATATTTATTGAAGTCTTCTGTGCCTTAAACACGCGAGTAATTTGAGTCTGTGTAAATGCAGAATGTGAACTTTTATTTTATATCACTATTTGTGTTTTCGTTTTACATGTTCAACGTAATGTCCACACAGATTGTACTCATAGATTTCAGTAGCCAAAGTCATTACTTCTAACCATTCTGTGAAGACACTAAATCAGCAAGATTAATACAATTCAGTTATGTTTTAACGTATTAGAGAATAGTTTGAATTACATCGTATTTTCCTAGTTTGATCAGTTGAAAGATCTGAAAACATCACCTGCAAAACCACTACAAATAATAAGCTACGAAAATTTCTTACTCTCTTCTGATCGATTTAAAAGTTCACAAGGCTGTGTCAATCCTGCATTTCTCACAACTCTAATTATAAGATATTCGAATGCCTAATAACTCTTTAAATTTAAACAGTAGGATGCAAAGCTGATAGTAGTTAATGACAATTGAATGAGCTTTAATCTTAATGTCCAGCAGAAATCTTAATGACCCTAAGGTATGCCATGACGCGATAATATCAGTATTTCTTATTTTCAGATTACGGTAAGACAGTATCACAAGTAGGTGAGACTGACGTCTCAGAAGTGGTTTTCACCAATGCTTGAAGTAATGTGTCTATCTGATTTCCAGCTTACTGGTGCGTTATTACTCTTTATCTGGCGAAATGTTTAAATCACTGGGCTAGCAGAATTCCCATCCATCAAAATGCTTAAACTCTTTCGCGCTTCTTATTGTTTTAATTGTACGGTCATATCGGATGATCATTACATGAACTCAAGTGAACATTTAATTAGTTGCCCACTACATTCCATGCAATTTTCGAAGGAACTGAAGAAAAAATTTACAGAATTGGTTCTCTCTTCATATGCAGCAACACTACGACAAATGATGTGCTTAAGATTATTGCGCTTTACATGTCAATTCTGTGTGAAAAGGAATACGCTGAAAAATTCTGTAATATATATTCACATACTGTCTGAAATAAAAATTTACTATTATTATTATTTATTTATTTATTTAATAAACAACCTGTAATCGGTATTAAAATATGGTTAGCAATTTTTGTGTTTTACTTTCGCATAGGGACTACTTCTATCGCATTCATTCTAGTCTTAGTTCTACTGAGATGGGAAATTCCTAAAATTTTCACTTCTGAACCGTAAGTTACAGTTTCATTAAAGTATACTGAATGATTTTTCATTTTCATAAATTTATAAAACTGTCGTAAAATGTTGCTAGATAAAGTCATTATTCCGGCTGAAGTACAATTTACTTTTTTATAGTTCGATGAAACATAGTGCCAATAACATCATTATGATGATGCTCAGTCTGTGACCCAAACCATTCGATCAGTTGAAATTTCGGAAGACCTCCTTTTGACATAAGCAAAGATACAATGCGCAAATTAAGAAGCCAAACTTTGTTCTGCCAACGGAAAGGAAAATAAATAAACCTCTTTTCGGCTGTCTGAACTGACTTCATGTATAGTGTAAATGCTTATAAAATTATAAGAAAAAGGCACAAACAGCGAAGAAAATTTTCTTTTCGACGATTCATTTTCATAAGCTGTACAATCTTTAGACCAATCAGATACTGGTAAACTTTGTCCTTGAAAAATTGCATTACATAATGTAAGGTGTAAGAAGGGATGACTAATTGTAAGTTAGAAAAGAGACAGAGGTAGGCATGACGTAATAAGTGTGAGATAATGAATAATCAATAAGCTCGTGTAGAATGGACAGGAACTAGTGGAAAGGCAATAGTGTTTTTATATAAAATCTGTATGAAGAAGCAATGTTATTAATAAACAGTAATAGAGTGGTAATAAAATGTGGATGATAGGAATAATAATGGTAATAAAAGTATTAATAATAATAATAATAATAGTGAACTTACATAATAAAAGAAGGAAGCAAAATTGTAGTAAGGACTTTACTCTGGCCATGGTAAGGCGAGAGAATGTATGTATCGCTTTTGAATGCAGAGGTCCGGTTTCAGATCTCGAATAGCTAATGCTTCAGCTATGTACAGATGGCGAATGCGAAGTCCCTTTGTACAATATTGAGGGACTCTGTGTATCACTGTGAAGCATTCATGTGAAGGTGCTCGATGTCTGGAGATGACAAGGTGTTCGAGGATAGAGCTGCTACTATTCTTTTTCTCTCCTCTGGCTAACCAAGCTGGATAGTGTTCCAGAATACGTTTGTGGACTTGACGTTGCGTACGGCCGATATACTTTGCTCCACACTAGCAAGTAAATTGATAAATACACATTGAGGTGGCCAAAAGCGGTATCTTGTCCTTAGCGTTGGACTGGGTTAACTGTCTGCAGGAGAATGTGATACGTAGAGTGGCTGTTGGAAATGTCTTCTTCAGACCTTTAGAAAGGCGGTTTCTGAGAATTTCCGCTGCGATGTCACCTTTGAACTCTAAGTTCATGAAGAGAGTCTTCTTAGGAACCATTGCGGTGTTGGACACCGGAGGCCTCTCCTTCATGTTTTTGTCGATAAATTTTGGTGGGTACCCGTTCTCTAGTAGGGTTTCACGAAATAAATTTAATTCTTTCTCTACCATGTCTTTCGAGCAGATTTTTCTAATCCTGGGACATAATCTACGTATTAAATTTCGGTTTTGGATCAGTGGGACAAAGCTCTGGAAGTTGATAAACTGTCCAGTTCATGTTTGCTTGCGATATATCGATCTTTGAATCGTACAGTCGTGTCTTCTAGTGAGTATTACATCGAGGAATGGAAATGCCTTGTTCGATTCGCGTTCTAAGGTGAATCGTATTGATGGGTGCGCTGAGTTAAAGGTTTTGAGGAGAGAATCTAAATCAGATTTTTCATCACAGATTATGGACGTATCCTCTACGTATCTCCTGTATAAGTGCAGTCGACTTATCAAGGGGCCGAGGATGTTGTTTTCGAGACTCGCCATGAAGCAGTCGGCTAGGAGTGAACCGAGAGGAGACTCCATGGCTACACCATCTTTCTGTACATAGAACCATTCATTGAATTTGAACTGGATATTAAACGTACATCTGACAAGTAGTTCCTTCAGGTAGTTACGGGAAGAGGAACTTCTATGTTGTTAGTTTTGATGTAATTACAAATGAAGCATATTGTTTCAGTTAGGGGGATACTTGTGAATAGAGAGGCGACATCTAGTGAAAGCATTTGTCTTTCGAACACACTGACATCCTTCACTGGGTCGATGAAGTCAAATGTATCTCTGAGGCTATATTTTGTCATGTGTCTTTTAACTGGTTCAAGGATATCAGCCAGCCACTTCGCGATTTGATGATATGGTGAGTTAACCATGTCTATTACAGGTCGCAGTGGGACATTCTCCTTGTGCACTTTTGGCAGTCCATACAGTCTTGGAATAGTTGAACTGCAAGGTTTTATTTTCTGATAAACCTCCGGTGTTATGGCTGAATCTTCTTTCATTCTCTTCAGCAATCTTGTAAGTAGGTTTTCAGTTCTTTCGGTTGTGTCTTTCTGGTTGGGTGATTCGAAGAATTTGGTGTTATCTGATAGTATATCTGTCAATTTCTCATTATAATCGGATCTATTCATTACTACAATACCATTGCCCTTATCAGGACGGACGAGGATTACGTCTTTATTTTCTTGGAGCTGTTTAAGTTGTCTTCTGTGTTCCTTGGTCAGTAGATAACGGTGACTCGGTTGCGTACGAATATACTTGTAACAGCTGTCGAGAAGCGAAGCTTTAAATTGATCCAGATCTTTTTCCGAAGTAGGTGACAAATTGGATGTCTGTGACATTAAATTCTCAAACTGCATTTTAGTTTGTAATTCGTTACTTTGACTCGATACATGGCAAAATTTTGGGCCAAGTGATAGCATTTGCATTTGAACAGGAGTCAGAGGAAAGTTCGAGAAATTAAAGACATATTTTTCCGGATTCTATGGAAACGATGAAAGAGTTTCAAATGGTTTCAGGCTTCTTGTTAGTCGTGAAGTGGCTTCGTCGTGACGTCTTTGTATGACACTAGATACATAATCCTGAAATGTTTGTCGTTCATCATCGGATAGTTCATATAAAGCATGGGTTCTTTGTGATATGTTTCGCCCATGTATGGGTATGCGTGAGAGGATGGCGTCGATGTGATTCAGTGTGTGACGTTTTAGTGTCTTTGAATTGGGGTAAATGTGATTCCGGCGGAGATTCTTCCAGTACAATTATATTGCATGGTCAGTAACTGCCAAGTTAAATACAGAAAAACAGTGCTCACTGTACCCAACTGATCAATTTTTAATTGTGACCATATGGTCACCAAGATGACAGCACGATTAATTTCGTACAAATGAATGATACCCACAAATGTGCCCCACTTAGAAGACTCAAGACACTACACACTGTATTTTACCAAAATATTCTTACTGGTTACACGATATTCACTGCTCCCTTTCCTTCTAACTACTAAACTTTTATTCAGCTTCATAACTGAAAAGCTACAAAGCATTCACCGTTAAAGTTTAGTAAATTACTGTTCTTAGCGTCAGCAGGTTAGGTTCGAAGTGGAACTTAAGGCTTCAACAACTCCAACATCTCCATTTTATCCTGTTCTCTGGCGTCCTCTTTTACTGGTTTCACGATTGCCCATAAGCTCTCATCTCTTCCTCGGACAACCCATTTGTCATTTCCCATTAGGATTCCACTCGAGCAATGACCTGACACGCTGTGTCATTCAACGGTCTCCACAGAGTATGCACAACCCATCTGCATTTTCTTCTGCATTTTTCTTGAGCAGTCGGTTTTTGGTTGGTTTGTTCACAGCTTTTCTTGTTGCTAGTTCTTTCTGAACATCTGATCTCCATTATGCAGCGAAGGTAGCTGCTAATGAAAATCTATGACATGTTGGAAATGCTTTCTGTAACGCCAGTCCAAAGTTCCGGACACATATACAAGAAGTGACTTCACGTTTATGTTGAAAATCCGCATCTTGTTCACTATGTTGAGTGAAAGCGATGAAGGTCTGCCTCGCCTTCCTAATTCTGGTTTCGACATCCTCATCCATGCTGTCGTCTGTGGTTGAAACAATGCTTCCTAGATAAGTGATGGAAATGACTTCTTTCAAATTTCTCCTGTTGATAGTGATTAGTGCTGGTTGTTTTTGCTGTTAGTTGGTTATCCTCATCACCCCCGTCTTCTCTAAGTCCACTTAAAGTGATCTCTTTGATTCTTCTTCTGACAATCTGCTGGTTTTCACTTGTAGATCTTCGAGTTTGTATGACATTAGACATAAATCATCTGCGAAGTCCAAATCTTATAGGGTCGTCTTTCTGTCGATACTCCCTTTCCATAACATGCACAGGTCAGTTTATGAAGAAATGTAACATGATATTAATGACAATGAATGCGATTTTATGGGATTTATACTCGAATTTTGTCTTCAATCTTGTTTATTGATTTGCTTCAGACAAATAAAATGAAAAAATATTTTTAAAAGATGAAAAGCATAACACACCTTCATCGAAGTTCTGATGAAATTTTATTTTATTTTGAGGAAACAAATTAAAAGTTCAGTTCATCAACTACCAAGCGAGCAGCAATTTTTCTTAGGTTTCAGGACTGTGACATTTATTTGTAAATATCCCCTTGTCAGACTACTTGATTTATTCATCGTCAGTCATTTTATAACATTATGAAGTAGATCCTGACGATGAATTCATCAGGTGAAAACCACTTCTTCGACTAGTTGATTATTTATATCTATTTTTTACTTTTTCCAAGGGATGTGATTGAACTAGCCGCTAAGCTGATGCCACTAATTGCTGCATTTCAAATATTTGATGGAACGGTGGTAAGACGAACTGTTTTAATCACATCTGATTACATTAACAGCATACTACTGCATTTAACTTAAAGAGTGATTTTTTTTTTCACTAGTTACAAATTTCACCTGAACTCACTCGATAATTTCTTGTTTAGCAAGTCCTTCTGACACACGTGCTAAAGGGTAATTTGGATTTCGCCAGAATATGACTTTTGCAGTGTTGTTCAAATACCTACTGAGGGTTCATTGTGTTGTGTAGCAGCTACCTTTGTGCTAGTATATTTACTACTGTAGTGTGAAACATGATCATTATAGGTGGAGGAATTTCTGATGCTTTGGGTATGCCATCATTTCTGCTCATGTAATATTGCCTTATTTGAAAGACCTTCTACTAAGGTATGTATCAATTTGTGTCTATGCTGATAGTGTCTATCATTCACTTCTTGTTGTGCTGTGGAAATCTGACGTGTGTCATGATAATATGATGATCTATGAATAGTTTCGTATCAACTAGTCTTCACGTACATCAGTTCAATGTATTTTTCACCTTGCTTTGGAATTCTGCGTAAAATTTTAAATGTTCGAAAACCTACTGGACTTAACCTCCAATGAAACAGTATTTGGCTTCTGTTTTCAGTCCCACTGGCTCAATATGGTCGATATCCTCTTTAAATTAATCATTTTACTGATATTTATACCTTAGTCTTCAAAAGAGCCATCATAAAGGAAAGAGATGTAATCAAGAGTCTCTTTAATCCAGCTTCATACGTTTCCATTATAAAAGCAACTACAACGTGTTCCAACTGAAGTGGTTTGTATTTCATGGGTTAAAAAAGATGATTTTATTTTTAGACTGGTTTTTAGTAAAATTTCTACAATTTACTTAGTGAAGATTATTAATCAAATTACCAGCTAGATTTAGTAATCATTTCCACTTTTATTAAGACTGAAGTTTACTACATAATACTTTCAAATAATGGTAAATACTTAGTGATCATATTCTATTATCAAAATTTTACAATTTCATCTGATTTAGCTACATTTTTTCAAAATCCATCTGATAGAATAAGTTTCACAATGCATTATGTTTGAATGTTACGCTACATTTCATGGAATTCCTTGGAAATTTCAATAATTCATTTCTTCATTTCAAATATATCATCAACACGATTTAGTCACACATTGCTTAACGAAGAATAGTCAAAATGTTCATGATGTTTCGATCTAGTTGTATGTATCGGTATCTATTTGATCTAAGAGATATTTGGAGTATAACATCTTTCTAAATCAGACAGATTACTACACCCTGAGACAAATTCAGGGATCTGCTAACTCCTTGCGTGAATTCAGTCTCGCTTTACAATGGAAGTATGCATCAAATAAAATAACTCCAGTGGTTTTGATTGTAATTCATAGACTGCCTGTGATAGCTATTTGTCCGGAGAAATGAACTTATTGTGATGACGGGAAGAATCAAATTGAAGTGGGAACCTGAAATGATGCAAGATTAATTCTTAAAGAACAGAAATTTTAATGAGAAAACGATTGAAAATTAGGCTGGATTTTAAGAATTATTGATTGGCGAATGATAATTCACAGCCACCGGTTTACTATGACTATTGCTTAAGTGTTTCTGTTAATTTTACTATGCTGGTGTTAGTCCTTACTGAGATACTGGAGAGTTTGAAGTAACTGTCTTCTTAAGTAATACTTTGAAAATCGGACAGTTGCGTGAACCAATATTAAAAGAACCTAGTTGAATTTTATTGACAATCTAATATGACAGCACGAATTTGGCTCAGATGCGTTGGCTTTTACAACAGGATCATCCCATTGTTTAAAATTATGGCTTTCTATATGTCTGAACCGTGAAAAATGATGACTCGGTATAGCGCGTAAAACACTATCACTACGAATGTAATATTTCACCCTTCTTTGTTTTTATTGACCTACAATAGCTGTAAAACATTCTTTAGATAAATGGGAAAGACAATTTGCGGAAAATAATTGCAAATTTAGCTACATATTTTCAAAACAAGATTTTGAGCGAACAATTGTTTTCGATAACTTCTTCTTCAGGCTCTACAGTTATAAATCCATGAATAATAGAGTACATATAGCCAAAAAAGACAAATGAAAATAATATCAGAAACTGTATTGGGGTGCATGTGTAAGTTGAGATGATAGTCCATTAGTTGACATAATCAATCAAATGTGTATAGGGTGTATAGTCAGAAAAAATGTGATGAAGTGTGAATGAACAATTGGGTGATATAGTGCTGTTTTATAGTCAACAGAATACAAGTGTCATTGGGGTGAGAGAAATGCGATAGCCACAAAATACATAAAAACACACATTAACAAATGGGACACTGAATCTGAGGGCTGACCGATAATGTCTAATGATAAAATAAAGAGGCTAAATTGTAAATTGTAACGTCATCCAGTAAATAATACTGTTTCACTGTGTGATATATCAAATAAACAAACTAATATGGAATTACTTACTACCACAGTGCCCAAGTTTTACACATATATGATGTCTTTACATATATATGATGTCTTTATTATCCATTTCTTCACCCAGTTTATTTCACCTTATTGTTACCCTTAATTTTGTCAACCTTTGTGATTTTACTCTAAGCCTACGAACTCTGTAACATCTTATTACAATTTAATATATGTGTAAAACTTGGGCACTGTGGTAGTAAGTAATTCCATATTAGTTTGTTTATTTGATATATCACACAGTGAAACAGTATTATTTACTGGATGACGTTACAATTTACAATTTAGCCTCTTTATTTTATCATTAGACATTATCGGTCAGCCCTCAGATTCAGTGTCCCATTTGTTAATGTGTGTTTTTATGTATTTTGTGGCTATCGCATTTCTCTCACCCCAATGACACTTGTATTCTGTTGACTATAAAACAGCACTATATCACCCAATTGTTCATTCACACTTCATCACATTTTTTCTGACTATACACCCTATACACATTTGATTGATTATGTCAACTAATGGACTATCATCTCAACTTACACATGCACCCCAATACAGTTTCTGATATTATTTTCATTTGTCTTTTTTGGCTATATGTACTCTATTATTCATGGATTTATAACTGTAGAGCCTGAAGAAGAAGTTATCGAAAACAATTGTTCGCTCAAAATCTTGTTTTGATTTCAATATGGGGATATTTCATTTACATATTTTCACTTTGAACGCTGGCGGAATGGATTTCAGTGTACCTCACAGGGTAACACAACGTTGTAGTGATTGTGATAGGCGATTTTTACTGACGCTTGGCAGATTATTTTATTGTTTTAATTTTGTGTTACGAAGTACTAGTAAGAAAAATGCCTTGATTTGTCCTCACAGGGTGTTTGCAGTGGTGCTATTCGTGGAGCAGGACTTCAGCTATTTGGTGCAATCGTATGCTTTGTTACTCTGTACTTAATAGGTTCACCAATTGGTTTATCTCTTGTATTTGCTGCCGGGTACGGTTTAGAAGGTAATTTTTACTTTTCTTTTAATTCTTACTTAGTTTAGTAACTGCTTTAATGAAAGGCAAACTTGATTTCCTCTCAGACAACAGTTCGTCGCCTAAGCCTAATATATTCATTAAAAGATAAATTACTCAACTAGGACAAAACAACCAAAATAAATTACAGCGAATTGATTATTATATAACAGACTGAATTAAATTTCTCTGACGAAATAACTTCTGCTCAGTAATTTCACCAGGATTTATAGAAGAAATAGGACACATCATTCGGAGGGACTGGAATTCTGAATCTGGTGTCAGATTATTTGGTATGAGTTAATCTCATATAACTTAATAGAAACTAGTTATAAACGTGTTTCGTGATACATCGAAATAAAATTTCTGATAATTTCCTTGTCCTCTAACACTCATTCTCAAGTTCTAACTTTGATATCTCCTATAACAGAAAGAAAATAAGAAGAAGCTTAGAAAAGATATCTTCTCTGTGTGTTCACTCTCAAAAGTTGTACATTTATGCATTTACATATTTATATAAGAAAGCCAAAGCTTTGTGTTCAAAAGCAACTAATCTGACCTCTACATCTACTGTGGATCCAGTTCGGTTCAATTTCATAGTTTTCATTTGTTTGTTTCGTCATTCTCTTCAATTCTTTCATCCTCACTTATAAAAACTATCATATCAGTTTGTTCCCATGCTCACTCCGTTCACACCTGTATTCGTTAAAGAAAAACTGTTTTACCTAGTAAACAACAATTTTTATCTAATCCTGTGTAATTTTGTTTCTAAGCCCTGTGTAATCTTTATTTACGCCTTTGAACTTTCATATCAGGTTGAAAATTAGTGTCACCTTTAATCTCCTTCGTTATTATGCCAAATTAATTCATAATTGCAACTATGTACACTCATATGCGACAGCACAGCTTTTGAAGACTAAATAGCCGAAAAAAATCTTTTCTAAGTTTCTTGTTTTTTTCTCTCTAATGTCCTACTGGGTATTTTCCACGATCTTTAATGACACTTAAAAAAGGCAGGCTCTTATCTGCCTTAAGTGGGATTCAGTAAACCAATCCCTGTGAAGAATGCAACGGAATTCAGTAGGAACATATGACATTTACTTTACTAGGATCATTCTCTTTTCCAAGTCTATTCACTACGTCACACCTGAGTTAATTGAACTAGCTAAACTTATCATTTTCACTGTTTTGAACATGCATTGGACAATTCAAAAGGTTTTTGTCTTTAACGGTATCTTTCACACATTCATTCAATTATATTTTCTACAATAATAGGTTTATGGGCAGGTATGACTGTGGGGACTATTCTCGAAGGTATTGTATACCTTATAACTTGTCAAAGGATCAACTGGAGAAAGCAAGTAGAATTAGTAAGTCAATGTATTCGCTGTCATTTAAATGAAATCCGAATTCACTGAAGTTCATTATTTCCTAATCTGTGATAACTTTGTTCAATATTAGTTTTTTTATTGATTTCTAACTTATCCCAATACCATCCTTTAAAGACCTTTTAGACACTCTGACCATGTTCCCTGTATATGTCATATTATGTCATAAATTAGTCATGTAGATCTTGTGTGTCTACTAACTTCATGAAGCTGAACAGCTTGCTTGTTTTCTTACAAAGATAAAAAAGAAACGATAAAACACCCTAGATTTACTGTTCCTCTCAACTGCTAAGGTCTTCTTGACGAAATACTCCAGTTTATTTTGTCCGGTCAACAGAATACAAACTGAAAAGACTTTGTATGTTTGTAGGCTACAATAAATTCGATAAGACGAGAACATTTGATTTGAATCTCCGAATTTATTTTTCAAGCATAGTGACATGATCCTTCCGTTTAGTTGCACAGACAACTTGGAATTAATGATGTGTTTTACATGGATTTTTCTGTGAAACTGTGTGGAAAATTGTTTATCTGATATGCAATCAGATTTTTATCTATAAACTGTGCGTCGGTGGCACAGTGGTTAGGACTATCGCCGACCGTACACATGGTCCGGGGTTCGATCCCCTGCCGACGCACACCCGATATCTATGGTCGGCCTGCAAAATTTAGGCTACCGATATCACTTGCTGAAAATTCCATACCTGTAGCAAAACATACAGTGTGAAATCAAGCTGCAATCAAAATAAAAAATAAATAAAATAAAACTTATTATTCTTAATTGTATTTTCGATGTTTTAAATAATGTTTGCATACAACTCGTCTTTTGTATTATTGGACTACTACTGGTGCTGTAATTCAAAACTGAGTTTCCGTCTCCATTAATCCATGTTGGTGAGAAAAACACCCAAAAATGGATACTTTTAGTTTACCTAAGAATTTTTAACATGAATAATTTCCAAATGAGAGGAATCTCCGCGAGATTGTTAGACACACAGAGAATAACTCAACCAACTGAGATACAACAAGCAGACGTCCTGATAAATGTACAAGCATAGTCTTGATGGATATTAAAATCTATATTGACAAAGTGTTGCCAATCCTTTCAGACAACAATAAGTTCGCTGTTTCTAACAAAGAGAAACAGAACACAACTAAGTCAGAAAGAGAAAGATAAATGAAATGCAGCCCACTGAAATATTGAGGAAACTAAAGTATGATCAACTAATCTCTGGAAATGCCTACAAAACAATTTGACCAAATTTGATTTGCTGCCCTTCACAAACATCCTGATTACAGAGACGTTTTGCTTTCTATGCAAATACCTGGAAGATAAACACTTGAGCATTGAAATACTGACTTTCAGGTTAAAAGAACTTCTGTTCAGATGCATCCTGAATGCCAAATTCACATTCAGCGGTACTGTTTATAGATATCACCATGGAGTAACTATGAGATCACTACTGGGTCCGGTAATCGTAGGTATTTTCATGGAATATTTGTAAAATGGTTGATTCAGACCGACCATCGACAATTTTTTTTGTATATATGGTGTGTTGATGATGCTTTTACCATTTGTGACAATAAATGTAAGCTAAATGATGTCCGACTATTTTGATCACGAGAACTACTATAAACCAGGGAGTAATGGAGAGCTATCCAGTACTCCTTGCTTTACATTGGTTCCCTGACTGAAGTCAACTCGTAATCAAAATTTAAATCAGCGGAATCCCTAAAAAAATAACAATTGAAAATTTTCTACAGGTTTCTAGCATTTGCCATCCAGTCATCAGAGTTGCAGTTGAATTAGAAACCGGAGAAAAAATCTCCCTTCTGTATGTCTGACTGACAAAGAAGGCTGTGAGACACTGATCATACCAGTATATAGCAGACCTATGTGAAACGGTCAACTGACAAAAGTTTGCAGGTGGATACACAAAAACTGCAAGCGAAACCTGAAAGTATCTCCTCTAAATAGGATCTGGAGGATCTGCACTCCTGAGTCGGTAGATGAAAAGATTAAACTTTTAAGGAAGACAGTAAGTGAAAATGGCTACCTCCGCTGCGCTTCAAAGACAAACACATAAAACTCAAAACCCCATCTCGGTGTGGAAGAAGATGTTCTACAGAAATATAGGGTCCGAAGGCGACCTTCGAGTCTACATCCTAAAGAAGAGAATATCAGGCGCTCTGAAAAGAGTATTCTCTGCTTCTCCACTAAGGTTGGTATTCTCCTGCTACCCACTGTTCGCTAATAGCTCTAAAGACAAACTGTCACATTCGACCACTTCCATGTGTATCTATCAGTTCATTTGCTCCTGTGGAGCTAAGTATATAGGTTGTTCAACGCGTGTTTTTTATCTAAAATAGTCAAGGAACATCAACCCATTTGGCTACAGAATGGTCACAATGGATCAGTATGGAACGCTATAACTGAACATATTTAACACTTTTGACTCAGTATGATGGGAAAACAGTATGTTTCTGTATGCTTTATGCTGCTGAGGCCTTAGTGATTTGGTTGAAAAGCCTTGGTTTATGTACATAGAAGAGACTTCTCTATTCCTTCTATCTACCTTTGATATCATTTCAAGTTCAACTGTTACCAATATTTTGTTATTGATACTATTTTTTACATTTTTCGTATGACATTATCAATATCATTTTCTGAACAGATGTCTTTTCACAAAAAATGTATAACAAAGATTTGCAGGAAATGCTCTGTTGAAAATTTTAATGGAAAACACTGTAGGATGTTTTCATTAGATTTACAAAAATTCAGTCATTTCTTCAGATGAGATATTTTCTTTTGTTGGTGCTCTTCGGCTTTAAATTCTTGTTTATCTACCTTATTTGGAGTGATTTCGAATACACTCCAGTTCTTTACAACTTCTAATCCCTTAGCAAAGTGAATTAATATTGTTCTCCTTAATATCAAAGTGCTTCTTATCACAAACTGATGCCATTTAGTACTTCTGATGTATTACAGGTAACTTAAGATTTCTAAATTCTAAAGACCACCGTGAAGCGGAAATCATTAATCTGCTACTGACACAAACATCTCAACATTTAATTATCCCTGGGAGTCCAAGATGTTTTAAGGTGACGATAGGTAGAGTTATGAAAGAAGGACCAAACTTATTCCACAAATCCTCCCTCACTCAATTCAACCTAATTTTGAAAGGAAAAAATAATTTATTCATCAATAATTGTCATTCACATGTTATAGCAACGAAAAACAAACATATTGTGAACTACAGAATCAGTACTATTAAAAGTAATTTTAATCTGAACAGCTTAGAACTATTTGACGTAATCCCAGCTGTCCTCCCATTAAAACATTAAAATTTGCATATATGCTGCTATAATTGTACACACAGTTGACAAGAAATTCATATCTGGTTATCACTTTGAGATGAAAAGTAAACAGTCGTTTTCATTTGCCTGCTTACACACTCCAGAATAAAATTTTATATATTTGCTCGTAATAATGCCACTTAAATAACTGATTGTTTCAGTTTATTATTGAATCTTGCAATCATTCAAAACGACGTCTTCACTGATTACATATCTGTGTTTTCTGCTCTCGCCCTATCTTTTCTGGAATTTTCGCACACTTTTTTAAGTAAAGAATAACATCAGAAGATCGATTGCTGAACAAAGAACATTCTTTTCAATAAGGTCATCAGGTTCTACAATTGTATATCCATAATAATGAAAGAATTATTATTATTGACACCATAAGTGCTTTTTTAAAGGTAACAAATAGACTGTTAATAGATTATAGTCCCAAATATATGTGTATGTGGTATTATGTATAATTGTATCACTAAAGTGAACACCAATATTACAAGGTAAATGGTCATGATTAAAAACGAATATATACTAATGAATTCTTATGAGTCATGTTCATATTAGATTCTACTCATGATGGATGAATGATAATCTCAATGACGGAGGGAGGAATAACAAGAAGAAACTAAGGGAAGACCAGATATTTCTCAAAAGTTTGTGCGAATAGCTCAGCCCTTTGGGCATATATATGCCAAGCTAATACGGTCTACCCGAAGTACAAACCGCGAATATCATTAAGACCAGTACTTGGTATGCAAAGTTCCTCCTACCATGTTTTAGCAAACCTCTGCGTCAACAAATAGTAGAAGATAGCGTCAAAGATGTGTTTGAATTGGTAGACAAAATCAAAGATATTAATATCAACGGTAAAACTATAATATCTTTGGACATAACATCTTTATCCACAAATGTACCTCTAATAGAAACGGTTAGCTGCATATCTGAACAAATGTACAACCAGTCGATAAATATTGGCATCCTGACAGAAATCCTAAAAGAATTGTTATTAAGGTGTACCATGAATGTAAATTTCAAATTTGATGACACACTTTACAGACAACTGGACAGGATGGCAATGAGTTCCCCGTTGGGTACCATATTGGTAGACTTCTTCCTAAGCAATCTAGAGAATGGTCCTTTCAACAACCTTATCAGAAAATTATCATTTTATTGCCCATATACTGATGATGCCTTCATTCTTCGTGATAACGATTCGGATACGAACACAATAATAACTCAATTCAGTGCAGTACATTCTGCTTTGAAATTCACGTGCGAAGAGGAATATCAAAATAGAATTGCCTTCTTAGATATCCTTCTTACAAGAAAACTAGATGGCAGTAATACGAGAAATTTGCATAGGAAAAGTACATGAACAGAACAATATAACCATTTTCATAGCTTTTTTCCTCTCCAGCACAAAAGAAATTTAGTAAGGACCCTCAGCTACAAGGTCAGAGCAATATGCCCAGAAGATGTAACTGAAGATGAACTCAGGATTGTACATGATACCTTGATTGAAAATATCTATTTATAAATATTCCCATTTTTAATATTAGAACAAGACATATAAGCGAACAATATTGTTTTCAATTAGATCTTCTTCAGGCTTTACTCTAATTTACATA